TGGTCTCCAAAAAACAATCAAACAGAACCTGCACAGGAACCGGTCCCTTAGGACAGTTTGGTCTTCCAGGAACCGGTTGCTGCTGCTGTTCTATTTCATTGTTTTTGGGAGGGTATTTTTTGGACAGACTCCTTTGGGCTGGTTTTAATGGGACACCTCAAAACGAAAACCAACATGTTTGGGGCCCCCTAAACACGGAAGAGCCATCCAGAAAAGGAAGCCCTCTTTGGGCTTCCAAGGGCAACCAGCTAGATAAGTCTGGTAATCTCCTCCCCTATTAATGAATGACCCCCATTAATAATAAATGCAAATCAGATTTCCACTCCGCACAATTGATTTTCCATTGCGCCAATACTAAACCAATACTGATGTCATAGAATCCTTATTAGGGGGCACTTTTAGCAAGCTTCCAGCCTCACTTTTCAAAAGGTGGGTTCCTCAATTCCCCAAAAGGTTGCTTCCCCAAAAGCTGGCTTCTCAAAAGGTTGGGTTCTTTTGGTGGGTTCCCCAAAAGGTTGTTCTTGACTCTGTTGTCCCTGGCTGTCCCTGACTCCCTGGCTGGCGTTTTCCCATAAGCGACCCTTCCTTGCTTAGTTTCTCGCTTGGTTGGTTGGTTTTGCTCGTGAGCGCTGCGAAAGAAAGCTTTCTTGGTGTCTTGCGTTAAAAAGGGGCAGCCTCAGCCATATAGCCATGAGTTTTAATAGGGAATCACCTCAAAAGTGATTGGTGGACATGAATCCCCACCGAATTGAATTGTGATGTCCACCAAAGAATATCTTATTAAAATCCATGGCCATATAACTCTTATTGCCAGAAAGCCTCCACGACATGACAAGCGTTCTGCGTGGAGTTCGGAACCCTGATCTAAGTTGTCCAAACCCAGGGAACCCATCCCAGGTCTTGGTTTTCGTTGGCGAAAAAAGGCAACCTGCGCCACCACCAACCACCAGCAACCACCACGACCACCAACAACAACAACGACAAGAAGAACGAGAACAAGAGCAGCAACAACAACTGTCGACACGCACAACACCCACAGCAATCACAACAACCACCAACCAACACACGACAAGCACCAACCACCAACCGCAAAATACCACCAACAAAAAACAACCAACCATACAGACAAACAAGCCAAACAACCAAGCCAACCAACTACACAAACAACCAAACAAAAACACAAGAAAGCATGCAAACACAGACACGCAAAACAAAAAAAGACAATCAAACAAATCAATAAACAATCAAGAGCAATAGCAAACAAGCAAGCAAGCAAGCAAGCAAGCGAGCAAGCAAGCAACAAGCATACGCACAAGCACACAAACAACAACACAGCACAGCACAGCACGGCACAGCACAACACAACACATGCACAAAACAAACAACACACCCACAAAGACACACACGCAACCAACCAACCAACCAACCAACCAAGCAAGCAAGCAGGCAGGCAGGCAGGCAGGCAGGCAAGCAAGCAAGCAAGCAAGCAAGCAAGCAAGCACACACACACACAAACACACACACACACAAACACACACACAAACACACACACACACAAGCACAAACACACACACCAACACCAACACCAACACCAACACCAACACCAACACCAACACCAACACCAACACCAACACCAACACCAACACCAACACCAACACCAACACCAACACCAACACCAACACCAACACCAACACCAATACCACACACACACACGCGCACGCAAACACACAAACAAACAAAAAAGCAAGCAAACACACAAACAAACAATCAGTAACATAAACACTTAACAAACAAACAACAAGACTAGCTACAACATACACACACAAATCAAAAAAAAAAACAGACAAACCAAAGAACCAACCAACCAACCAGCCAGCCAACCAACCAGTCAGCCCGCCACACACACACACACTGAACAACACATACTGTACTTAAAACACACACACACAAACACACACACAAACACACACACACACACATACACACAACCAAACAACCAACCAACCAACTGATCAAGCAAGCAAGCAAAAGTACAAGCAAAAAAACATGCAAAGCAAGCAAGCAAGCAAGCAAGCAAGCAAGCAAGCAAGCAGGCAAGCAGGCAGGCAGGCAAGCAAGCAAGCAAGCAAGCAAGCAAGCAAGCAAGCAAGCAAGCAAGCAAGCAAGCAAAGCAAGCAAAGCAAGCAAGCAAGCAAGCAAGCAAGCAAGCAAGCAGGCAAGCAAGCAAGCAAGCAAGCAAGCAAGCAAGCAAGCACGCGTGCATGCAGGCAAGCAAGCAAGCAAGCAAAGCGAAGCGAAGCGAAGCAAAGCAAGCAAGCAAGCAAGCAAACACACACACACACAAACACACCCACACATGCAAACAGCAAAACAAACAAACAAACCAATCAATCAAACAAACAAACAAACAAACCAACAAACAAACACACACGCACACAACCACACATACACACAAAAACAACACACACGCACACAACCAACCAACCAACCAACCAACCAACCAACCAAACCAAACCAAACCAAACCAAACCAAACCAAGCAAGCAACAACGTTCTACACACTGGGGGGAAGTATCCTATTTGAGCCACAGCCCCAAAGCCAAATGTTTGAGATGCTACACTGAACTTCCAGAACACGAAGTCCGAAGCAACAACACGCGTCTGTCGTGATTTTTTGGAGGAACCCCCAGGGCAAATGTGGAAAGGTACTTGGGTGTCTGAAAAAATAGGGGAGGCCCAAAATGAATTTCAGTCTTCCTCAGCAACTTCAAAAAAGGGTGCCATAAACAAACAACCTGGACCCTTGAAATTCCAAAATAGAAATGGGAATTATTGCAACCCAAAATAATGGCCCGGGTGAATTAATTCCAACTTGTTTCTGGGTGACCGGAAAGTACCATCAAACAAGTCAGTCATTTCCCTTAGACATGGGTTGTTGCAACCCGAAATTATGGTTTGTGAACTCCAACCTTTTCCTTGTGTGTTTCTTTCGGGCCAAGGAAGCCAGCATGCAAAAAAGGCAGACCCGAACCACCTCCCTCCGCGGTCTTTTTCGCCCAGCGCTGTGGGAAATGACCACTTCTGTAAAACAACAGAAATGGCTTCTCCAAGACTAACCCCCCCATTTCCAGGAAATGGATTCCCTTGTGTCACAGAGGGATACACCCGAGTGATCCCAAGCCTGTTTTCGCCTTTTGGCTTCGGCCGCGCGGCAATCCACCGAAGGCTCCAGCTGCTGCGTGAGGCCCAGCCGCCTCAGCGTGGCTTCGGCCTCGCAGGCCGAGCCGCCGGCGCAGGCGGCCGAGGCGCCGGCGCCGAGTGCGAGGAAGCCCACCGCGCGCACGGCGCGCATGGCGCGGGTCCGGCAAGGGCGGGCGACGCGAGGCGCTTGATTTGAGGTTTTTTGAGGAAAGAAGGGGGGGTGATGGGTGTCTGGAGCTGGTGGTGGTTTCCTTGGTCTTGCAAAAGGATTTGGCTGATATGAACCACCTTCAAGGATTCAAGGTCCGTTAAATGCCTTTTTCAAGGTCCGTCCTGATATGGGAAGCCATGGGAAAATGACAAGTGGAAGGGATATGGACCCCCTCTGCTTGATTCAGGGATGGGGATTTGCTCGGGTTGCTCTGCTGGTTTCTCTACCGATTCCTCTGGTTGCATTGTCCTTCAAGGTAACCTCGTCTGGGAGAAGTTTGGCGTGAGGAAATGTGGCACCTTCTTTGGATGAAGCACAGGCCTTGTCTGGGAGAATGATTCCGACTTTGCGGTGAGCTGCGGCGAAGTACCTCTAGCAACCACCGAGTGAGATTGGTACCTGTTTGGCTCCAAGCCAAACAAAACCTGACAAGGTTCGGGTGGTGCAAGATTTGGTTGCAAGTCTCTTAGCTTGACGGCTTGCATTTTTTCAGGTTTGCAAGTGCAAGTTTAAGAAATGCGCTGGCAACAGTGCAAATGGAAAACTGTTCTAAATATGTTTCTTGCAATGGCAAATTTCTGTTCTTCAAAGCCATGGTTTATTAGACGCAATAACAGGTTAACCTTTTGGGACCATGACTAAAAATGGGCCCACCAGGGGAGACAAAAAAGGTGAAAAGGTCGGCTTGGGGCAAGTGAGTCTTCAAAACCATGTTTAACTAGATGACAATGCGCAACTGCCATCCACTAGGCTTCAGGAACATAGCGGTTTCCCGCAACGTGTTCACCTGAGATGATCAATTTTTATCATCGTTTGATTCTGAGCCTCAGAGCCGGGAGCAAGCTAGCAGCTACCAGTTCTTAGGGCCATGGAGGACCATGTGATTCAGGAGCTCTGCTCTGAATCTTTGAACTCAGAATGCGCAACCCGAGTCTTTGCGCAGGGGGTCCCTTCAAAACTGGATGTCCGCTTCAAAAGTTCCAATCGACTGCTGGGGTCCATTGAAACGATCGCCACTTTTGGACTTATACCCCTTAAAACTCCAAGCAACCTGGGGAAGTTAATCTTTTACAGACATATAGCCCACGTTACCCAAAAAGTTACGAACAGTTTTGTGCTTTTAAGAGGTAAGTGGAGGTCCAAAACGAGGAAACGGAGGGACCCCTGTGTCAGGGGCTTCCCTTACCAAGGTTTCCTCACACCTTCAAGTGCTATGCAAACCCGGGCCGCGAGACGTGGAGGAAGTGGGCGCAGTGGGGAGTTCGGGCTAACGTGGGGTGCAAACCACCATTAAAAAGCAATGCCTAGGCTTAAAAAGGGAGAAAAAACGACCATGATTTACCGTTTTCTGGTTTCCAGCCCATGAACTCAGGAAGTGATTCAACTAGGTCCTCCAGTAGAGAGGTTAGAATAAGGGTACCCGATTCTTTTTCTGTAGCTTGTTTTAGTAGGGGAACCCTCCCCCAAAAATGGGAGAGAAGGGCACTACAAGGGGACCTAGTCAGGAAGTGATTCAAGAAACCAGATTGGGCTGGAAAAAATCTGTGGCTGCCCTCGAACCGACTCGTCAGCTTGCGGTCTGACCCCGCCTCGGGGAGGGGGAACTCAAAGGCTAAGCCCGGGTACCTCAGCCTCGGTCCGAAAGCGCTGGAGAAAATCAGATGGCGCCTTCTTCTGGGTCCCCAGATAGCCCCGCACAAAAAGCGCCAGCTCAGCCGGCGGATCTCCAAGTCGGGCTATGGGATCGCAGAAAAGCGAGCCCGTTGCACCATTTCAGAGGCTCACACATCTGGGACACAATCCATTCTGTAATGCCAAAGAGGGAAATGCAAAAAAAAAACATAACACCCTAAAACCCGAGCTTTCGACAAGCGTGGGAAGAATGCAAAACGAAACCTCCCGTTTGTTCTAATGGTGTGGTGAGTGTACATCAAGTTCACCCCAGTGCTACCACAAAGTCGCCAGGTTGTCTCGGTGCCCGGCAGATAAGCCGCTTTCTCCCGCCGGAAATCCCCGATCCTCGGTGATTTCGGAAAGCAGACAGCCGAAAAAACCGAAGCCCAGGTAGCCCAAGCCGAATCCGGGAGAACCCGCAAACCGCAAGCTGCGCGGAAGAGCTTTGGGCAGTGATGCGTTCTTGACACAAAAAAACGTCAGTTGTTGTCCAAGGATTCGGGGAACACCTGCGACCAGGTCCCGGGGCCCTTTACTTGAAGAAACATTCAAAGGACCAACATGCACGCCCGAAAGACTCCGCAGCGCCATCAAAAAAATGAGTTCTGATAACTGGAGACTTCTCCTTCCTGAAACACTTGGGCCGCTCTTAGAACTATCGAGGACCTGGGGGAGTGGTTGACAAGTGATCGTGTTTGGGCTCTTCGGTTCAAAGCGGACATGACACCAGGGCAGAGTCAATCCAGTGCCATTAAGACCTAAGGATTGACCACCAACCATCAAGTAAGGTACATTTGGCTCTGTGTTTTGTTAAGGCACTTGGTTTTCAAGGGAACCACAAGGAAACCAACCATTTTCGGCGGGGGGCCTCCCATTTGGAGATGCGCGCATCGGAGTGTGCCCCAATGGCTGAAACGGTTGATTTCCCTTCTCAACCTCGAGAATCCGGTTGCTTTGATTTCGTGGTAAATACTGTGGATGGACGAGTCATCCATTTCGCACCACATGAAACCATGGGAAGGAGACCAGAACGGTTGTTGGTATTTACATGGGGGAATCAAATAATTTCGCTGGGTTTCTGAAAGGTAGTGTGCGACATCGATTTCGCAACCAAGAGTCGGGGCCCCTTGAATGATTGCATGTCGCCTTTCATCAGGCAATGGGCCTTGGAATGTGCAAACGCACAGCAGCTCCTGAGCTCCCACTTGGCGGGCAAACGTGGATACCCTTCCGACCTCCTCTGATTTCAGCTTCCCTCTAATTGGTGTTGCATTGGTGGCATGGAGGCTAGGGGGTGGTTGCTTAATGACACTCTATATCGACCGGAGGGTAACTGGACCCTCAAAATCGAACGTAAAGAATGGTTATTGCCCCAACATTGTGGTTGGTGAGTTCCACTTGATTATCCTCCATGTGCTTAATTCCCCCCCCAAACAAAAATGACAATATATTTCCAGCAGTCATAGATTCCCTTCAAAACACAGCCGGGAAAAAAACAACTAGGTCCTCCAGTAGAGAGGTTAGAATAAGGGTACCCTTTTCTTCTGTAGTCTATTTTGGTAGGGGAACCCCCCCCAACAAGGGTAAAAGGGCACTACTGGGGGCCTAAACACATATTCATTTCAGCAAATGGACGTTTTGTGTAGTTCATTCACCAACCAGGGCCGCTGCGGCGGGCGCTCGAAACCCGCAAAAGGCTTGCGGAGGGGTCCCAGCACCTGTCCGAAACCAAAACCGAGCAAACAAGGAAACAAGGATGCAAAAAAAAGGAAGGAAGGAAGGAAGGAAGGAAGGAAGGAAGGAAGGAAGGAAGGAAGGAAGGAAGGAAGGAAGGCAGGCAGGCAGGCAGGCAAGGAAGGAAGGAAGGAAGGAAGGAAGGAAGGCAAGAAAGAAATACAGAAAGCAAAACAGACAGAAAGGAAAAAACAAGACGGGCAAACAGAAAGAAGGAAGGAAAGGCAAAAATAGAGACAGAACCACTGAACAACAAAAAGCAAAGCAAGCAGCCAACAACGGCAGCGCCTCCTCAGGGGCTGAGCTGGGCCCCTCGCCAGGTCGGGCCGAACATCTGGTACACCTGCGGAACCCAAAGTGCAATGCCCCGGAGATTCGGAAGCTTGTTCTCTCAACAGAAACTCCTCTTTGCTTCCCAGCTTTGAAATCTCAAGTTTTTGACAGAAACTCCTCTTGGATTCCCACCTTTGAAATCAAGTTGTTTTTGGGCTCAAAGGTGAAAATTCCAAACAAAGCAAGCCAAAGGCGCAAATACAGCTGACATGCCCCCCCGCACCCAGGTTCTTGCGGCTCAAAATTGTATGTGCGAATTCGGGCACTCCCAACATGGTGGGGACTTCTCTCAACCTACCTTGAAGCCAACCTGAGAAGGCTGACATGCTAGGTGGGCCATATACAGCAAATCAGCTTCCCTCCAATTGGTTTGGATTAGTGTTTTGGTGCTTAAGGCGCTTCCCATCTACCCTCTACGAGGACCAGGGGTTCAAATCCCTAAACCACCATCCAAACCACCAATTTGGGGTTAGTTAAACCGGGGGGGGGGTGGGGCTTGGGGAGGGGAGAGGAGGGGCCTTCCCCTCAAACAGAACCCCAAATAAAGGATACAACATGTCTTCCCCAAATCTTCAAGGGAGCCGCGGACTTATTGGTTCGTGGGGCCGGATTGTCCGAGTTGTGACAGAGATTTGAAAACCGAAAGACCCAGTGCTCGTGAACGCCATTCCAAGGGCATCAGGGTGGAAAACCGCCAGGCACGGGTAAGAGGCAAAAGAGTTGCGATCCTAAAAGCCTAAAAGCCTAAATACATGACCTCAAATGCCCATGGATTTCAAAAAATCGGCCATACATTGTTGGTTGACTTTAAAGGGGAACCCTTCCCTTTTCAAAAAGGAAAAAACTGGGCACCACACCTAACCCCCCCCCCCAACTTAGAAGCTCTTGGTTGGTTAGCGGAAACACACTGGCCCAAGGGATCTGGAAACAGGTCAACCTTTTGGCACCTTGACCACATATGGAAACCCCAAACTGTCAGATGCCGTCGATTCGCTTCCGGCAAGCTTGCCGGAATTCTTAGTTACCATTCTAAGCCAAGACACCTTTGGACCTTTGGGTGTCTTTTTTGAGGGCACCCCTTGTTGGTGGTTTACAGAAAAACCCAAGGAAAACTGAAGCCGTTGTGGAGGGTCCCGAACTCCTGGGCCCTCCAAAAATGCAAACTTGAAAATAACTGTTTGCAACGACTATGGTGTGTGATGTCGAACCTTTCTTTTTGAAAATTGGTACCTGGACCCTCACAACTCCCTGAAAAATATAATCTTACCCCCAAAATGATGGTTGGCGAATTCCCTTTTTGATGGGTAGTTTGAGGGTCCAGGTACTTCTTCCGGGCCCAAGGAAAGGCGCTCGCGGCTCGGCGCTCGGCTCGCCCCACGCGGCTCGCGGCTCGCGGTTGCGCCTCCCGGAGGTTGGGAGGATTGCCCAAGGTCTGGCCGCTGTAAGTGAGCTCTGGCAACAAACTGGCCTGGCAACGCGTGGGGTGGGGTGGGAGGTGGGGTGGGTGGGTGGGGTGGATGGGGTGGGTGGGTGGGGGGTGGCTGGGGTGGGGTGGGGTTGAAATGGAACCCACTGTGATACAACAGAAAGGGCAAGCCCCAAAGACGTTCAACCCCCCTATAAGGGGTAGATTCCCAAAAGTATCACAGAAGTGGTTGGATGGGCCTGACGGCAACGCGACAAGCTGACCTTGTGGCCGCGCGATCAGGGAATGAGGGTGGGGCGGATGGGGTGGATGGGGTGGGTGGGTTCTCCAAATTCCCATGGTTGTGAGAGATGGTTCTCAGAACCCAGGTTTTGGTTCCCCTAAAGGAAACCACCAGTTACTTTATGAGGTTCATTCCAATTCTCATTCCCCACCTATCGCACCAGCAAGAGACCCACGGAAGAGGGTTCTTGGTTCTTCCCATGCCTGTCAGAGACCCACCCCCCAGAAGGTGCCTGAGCCCTTGTTGAGATTGGGGGGGCTCTTATTGGGGGCCCTTGACAACCATGGGGGATGAGTTTACCATGTGAAACATATGGTATTGCCAGAAGCTGCATAAATTGTACAAAACATGATTATTATATATATATATATATATGTATATATAATATAATATGAATATAGTATTATGGTTCGTGTTTCCCCTTACAACCCAAAAATCGATTTGAAAAGAATGAGGAAGGTAGAGCTGCAAATTAGGGGAGGATGCTCATGGGCAGGCTGGGGAAACCGCCGGAATCCAAGGTGTGCACGAAGCTGCTCAGCTTTGCCTAGCGATCCAACAGGCTTCCTAGTGAACACAACCCCGGTGTTGAGGCCGTAGTGCCGCAGAGATGCAACTGGGTTGACGCTGGAAGGGGAGCAATAAAAGGAATTTTAGCAGTTAAGTGGGGATTTCCCACTAAACCACAATAAGCAAAAATGTAAAATGTTTCCCAACGACAACCATGGTAAGGGTGTTCAAACGTGTCCTATCCTTAGACAATAGCTCAAGATGAAAGCAGCCGCCCCAGCTTGGCGAAGGATGTCCAGCTGTTGGGCGTCCGGAAAAGCGTCCGCATCCACCACGTTGTGGAGTCTCCAGTTATCTCCCGAAGGCACGCGATGTCAATCTGTATCGGATATGGCTGTGGGTCAAAATCCAAATCGTACCCCGAGTGAACATCCCAATCCAACCACTAAAATACACCAACATGGGCGGTGCACCCTCCCCCCAAAAAATGATGCCATTGGTTTTGACCCACAGCCAGATGGGATCTCCGCCACTGCTGGTGGCCGAAGCCTGCACACAGCTGCTGCTTGTGAAGGAGGCTGTGGACGCTTCGACTGAAGCAGCCACCGTGCCGGAGGCGGCGACGGCGCTTGTGGCCGGCGCTTGGCAGCGATGGGCTCCGCAGCGGGAGATGATGCGCCGTCGGATGGGTGCGAACCCTAGCTTCGGTTCCATACAGCATCCATTCGAAACGCTGTTTTGATTGAACGATAAATGAACGGCCCTTCTTCAAATGGATCCCTGCCAAAAGCGGGTCTGCCAAGAGGGTTCCGATTCCTGTGGTGAAAAGGAATCGGTTGTTTGGGTTGCATCGTGCTTCGCAAAATGTACCTAGTGACCGGGCCGTGCTTCTGAAGCACCAAGGCCGGAGGCCGGCAAAGGCATGGCATGCAAACAATCCCGTGCAGCTAACCATACACACATTCCTTCCCGGTGATTGTGACTCGTGGATCGTTCAGCACCCCAGAACCAATGTTATGATTATATTTAGGCTCTATAATTCTTGCATTAGCTCGACGTCCGTGGATTCGCCCCAAGTTCAAACAGTTTGTTTCGCTGACGGTTCAAGCTCTCTGCATCCAGTTGTTTTTTGATACCTGCGAGTTATGCAAGAAATCCCAACTTTGAAGTAAGGGATCCCCACTAGCAAACGACCCACATGAGTGTCAAAATCGGGGGTCCCAGGTCTCCTCTTGGCTGAGAAACACCACCCCAAGGGTACCCCACTTCCCGAGTGGATTGCCCGGAGAATCTCCAAACTTTCGGTTGGCAACTATATAACATTCGTCTGCTCAAAAAGTGACTAAAGTCCGAAACTGAACCTTCCATTTGGTTAAGACCCCTGGGGAAAAAAAAAACATCCGGTGGTGATAGGTTCCCTTTAAAACCAACAGGGGAAAATAACAAAATATGGTTAAGCAAGTGGACGGAACTCAGGAAGTGAGGCACGATCAAAACATGACCTCCGAGCCACCAACCCACCTAAGGTGAGCTCGTTTTACCCCAGGCTCACGATCGAGCGCGCCTCGGGAGCCTCGGGCTCCGACACACCAGCGTCCTGCGAAAGCACTGGGTAGGTAACCACTCAAAGAGACTTCTGATGGACGAGTCAGTCGCGAGCCTCGCACGGTTAATGAAGCCATGGGCATGACACCAGAAGGTTTGCAACGGTATTTATGGGGAGAATCATCATTCCAGGACTCCTAGTTGGTTCTCAGCAAGGACAAGAATGACCCCCATAAACCATCCCTTAAGGGAATGCCTGGGTTTGTTCCAACACCCCCTACTGAGCACCAGCAAGCCTTCTGTGGATGGTTGAAATTGAGATCCGCGTGTCTCGCACCCACGCTTCATGAAACCAGGGGAAGGAAAAACTGAGCGTTTGCTACGGTATTTACAGGAAGAATCACCATTCCAGGGTTTCTGAACGGTGGTGCGAAGTGGTTCTCGTCCATCCACAGCATGATCCTTACACGTGAACTTCAAACGTCTTGAAATGTCAAACTGTCAAATGTTATATAGCAGAAAATGAATGTGAGAGACTTTCCGTGAAAAAAAAACACAGTGGTGTTCTTTGTAGAAAGGACTCTTGAAGGAAAGAGGGTATTCAAAGGACAGCTCTAGCTATGCCGAGGATCTTAAGATCCTTCTGACACATCCCTCTGCCAGTCTCGACAAGGATGGACAAATGTTTTGAGGATACCTGTTTTGGAGTTGAATTGAGGGGCAACTGCAGGAACACACACACAAACACCAATTTGGGGGTGCCACTGTTTCGGCAGGATTCAAAGCAACAAGGGATTGCTCACTCGGTTCATCCTAACCCGACATCGAACTAGGCGATCCCAAGACGTCTGATTGAAAGTTTTCAGCAACAACAGTGACTAAGCTTGTTGTGTACCACTAGGTCCTCCAGTAGAGAGGTTAGAATAAGGGTACCCTTTTTTCGGTAGTCAATTTTGGTAGGGGAACCCTCCACCAAAAAAGGGGAGAGAAGGGCACTACTGGGGGACCCGGACCATTAACATGGTCTTCCCAAAAAGAATCAAATCCGGGAACTCAGGGAGTGAGGCTTTTCGGTCGCTTCAACCAGTCCTTTTGGGCTTCTTTTCGGGAAAACTAAACAGACTCTACGGGCAGTGTTGTTGCAGCCCAGGCTGTCGTCGTGGGCTCTGTGAAGCTTGAGCCCACTGAAAAAAAGGGATGTGTGTGCCTGTCGATGTGGTGAATGAGTTCATCTACTTGTGTGAGCTGCGAGACTTGGTGTGGTCGCTTTGCAAGCCGCCAAGATCTCGTGCCCACATGAGTGATGAATAACCGGAGCGCCTCTCAAACAAACCAGGCTTCCTTTCCAACCCAAACGATATGGTCGATGGCAAACATGGGCTTGTTTTTCTTTTTGCAGGCCCCTACCTTAAAATGAACAGAATCAAACAACAACTAAAAGAACCTAAGACTAAAAATGCAACGGTGGTTTGGCTTTCCCATTCGCCGGTCTCTTACAGTGCTCCATCTTGCGCAGGGCAGCCCTCCTCGGGCAGAAGCCGCACCGAGATGAGGCGCAAGTCCTGGTAAAACGGATCCCTAGATGTCCCCCGTACAATGTGCATCACTTAACTGAGCTGGCCTCAGATCCCCTGATAATAGTTTAACTTTTAGAGGGCGAAATTATAAAAAAAAAAAAAAAAAAAAAACACTAAACACTAAAACGATAAAAGGCTAAGGAACAAGATGGCTGGGAGCCAAGTTAAGGGAAACTCACGCACATGAAAAGTTGGCCTGTTCCAGATGCTTCATGGCTTCAAATCGTCACTTAAGGGAAACTCACCCAACAAGTTGGCCTTTTATAGATGCTTCATGGCTTGGAATAGTCACTTGCGGGACACTCTCCCAAACAATTTGCCTTTTTCAAGTGCTTCATGGCGTCAAATTGTCACTTCAGGGAAACTCACTCACCCCACAAGTTGGCCTTTCATAGATGCTTCATGGCTTTAAATAGTCACTTGAGGGACACTCACCCAAACAATTTGCCTTTTTCAAGTGCTTCATGGCGTCAAATTGTCACTTCAGGGAAACTCACTCGCCCTACAAGTTGGCCTTTTATAGATGCTTCATGGCTTGAAATAGTCACTTGAGGGACACTCACCCAAACAATTTGCCTTTTTCAACTGCTTCATGGCGTCAAATTGTCACTTCAGGGAAACTGACTCACCCTACAAGTTGGCCTTTCATAGATGCTTCATGGCTTTAAATAGTCACTTGAGGGACACTCACCCAAACAATTTGCCTTTTCCAAGTGCTTCATGGCGTCAAATTGTCACTTCAGGGAAACTCACTCGCCCTACAAGTTGGCCTTTTTTAGATGCTTCATGGCTTTAAATAGTCACTTGAGGGACACTCACCCAAACAATTTGCCTTTTTCAACTGCTTCATGGCGTCAAATTGTCACTTCAGGGAAACTGACTCACCCTACAAGTTTGCCTTTTGTAGATGCTTCATGGCTTTAAATAGTCACTTGAGGGACACTCACCCAAACAATTTGCCTTTTTCAAGTGCGTCATGGCGTCAAATTGCCACTTCAGGGAAACTGACTCACCCTACAAGTTGGCCTTTTATAGATGCTTCATGGCTTTAAATAGTCACTTGAGGGACACTCACCCAAGCAATTTGCCTTTTTCAAGTGCTTCATGGCGGAAACTGACTCACCCTACAAGTTGGCCTTTTATAGATGCTTCATGGCTTTAAATAGTCACTTAAGGGACACTCACCCAAACAATTTGCCTTTTTCAAGTGCTTCATGGCGTCAAGTTGTCACTTCAGGGAAACTGACTCACCCTACAAGTTGGCCGTTTATAGATGCTTCATGGCTTTACATAGTCACTTCAGGGACACTCACCCAAACAATTTGCCTTTTTCAAGTGCTTCATGGCGTCAAATTGTCACTTCAGGGAAACTGACTCACCCTACAAGTTGGCCTTTTATAGATGCTTCATGGCTTTAAACAGTCACTTGAGGGACACTCACCCAAACAATTTGCCTTTTTCAAGTGCGTCATGGCTTTAAGAATAGTCCATCCTTAAAACATGCTTTGAACTCACCTTACATTGGCAAGCATGGTGACGTTTAAAACCACCCAAAGAGATAACATAGGGACTGGCAAAACCAAGAGAAAGTGTCCAGAGATCGTGGTCAAACTGCCTGAAAGGGCGTGTTGCCCTTTGTTTAATTGCCCTAAAGCAGCACAGGCTTGGAAGATAAATCCTGCAAACTTGGGTCGGTCCGAATGGTCCGATGGTTCGCCTGGGTTGCTCAAGTTCGCCCACAGATCCATAAAGACCAAGAGGACCTCGACCATGGTACATGTGAATCAATGTCAACCATCAGGGCGGAAACATAGAAGGGAGATGGCAGGAGAGCCAAAATGGGGAAAAGAACGGTCAAATCTGGTCAAGTCGCTTTGGGCTTCTGTGAGAAGACCAAAAGAACCTGGACCCTCGAAATGCCCTTTAACATTGGCATCTTGCCCCAATTATTCCCTGGGGTTCAAACCACCATTGAAACAACGGGGGTTCATATGGGTGTGGCTCAAAATTAAACACGGGGGGTTACGCAGGTTTTGGTCCATGTTTTCACTTACCAGGGTTCCAAGTTGATATCGTTTTTTTTTAGCCACAGCCATATAACCCCCATTATTTGCCTAAGAATGGTCATCATCAAACTTGGGTCCTGGCCTTTGTTTCCATGCGGGCAAGGAACCCCAGGGCATGGCTGGCGAATTCCAACTTTGAGGAATCGGCTCAGCCAAAAGGAAGAGGGAGCCAAACGTTGGCCCGTTCTCAAAGCAAACGTTGGCCCCACGAAATGGTGAGAAGTCTGCATTCTTTTGGTTGCCCTTCAACAAACGTTGGATTCGAAAGAACTACCCAGAAAGAAAGGGGAGTCCATGGCCATAATCTGCACTAATTCCCAAAGTTTGAGGCTGGGAATTGTTGGTCCTGATTTCAGCTCGCGGCCCGAAATCAGACGTCCTGTGCATTTGGGCAAAGCCAACACATGGGTCAGTTACGGTGTCCTGCGCGATTTAATCGCCAATTTGAACAGGGATCCGGATGCATTTCCAACTTTATTTTGGTGTGGAAAAAGCAACATGTATCTCAAATGGTGGCAAAATGGACTTCTTTTAAGAAGCCCTGTTGAACAAGTACCTCCCTCCCAAGATCGAAGCCTATTGCCATACCGTTGGACAAAATCCACCTGACAGGCTAGGTCCTCCAGTCAGTAGAGAGGTTAGGATAAGTTGGCACCAACTTGTTTTCTCGTTTTTGGTCTATTTGAGTAGGGGTGTTCGCTTTTCCCCTCCCAACCAAAAAAAGAAACGGGTGAGATGTCGGGCACCAATTGCTGGGGGACCTAGGTGTGCTCCAGCTTCCATGGGATGCCCCATCCTGCTGGTAGGGGTCGAAGCACAGCTGCAGCCTGGGTCGAAAGGACTCAATCCGAGCCGATGGATGCGTGGTAGGCGTACTCAGTTGCGAAATCTGCGAAGCCCTGCTAAAAGTGAATAACCTAATTTTAGTGGTTTAATGCGGAAAGCCCAACTTCGTTGGCAAAAGTGAACCTGGGCAAATTGCCCCAAAGGGCTCCCCATTCTTTTTGGGAATGGATCCGAATCTTTCTAGACCACCTCCTTTGAAACCTAGGGAAACCGGATCCGGTGTTCGGAAAGAACGAGGGTCGAAAAGAATGGACAAGGAATCAACCCTGGATCTTCCACCCTGAAAAAGCAGTTGCCTTTGGCTGATCTCCCTTTTTCAACCATCAAGGGCCCTGTTTTTTGCGGGCCCTTGGTCTTCACCAAGGTTCGAGTGATGCTTTTTTTGACATGGGTTTGTCTCAAACTGAGTGCCCCCAACAAAGACACACCTAAATCCTAAATCCTGGTTTCCCAGCGGAAAACGAACGGCGCCAGGGCAAAACGGCCATGTTGTTGACGACCCATGTCCAACAGTACGGGAGCCCCTCCAAGGAAAGCAATCGACTGTATTTACCACCAGAAACCAAGACCCGAAATGCGCTACCACGGCAAAACCTCCCGTTGCTCATGGTCCTTAGTGAGTCATAAAGGATAGACGCGCTTGCCAGAAGGCATAGAACCCAGAGACATCCTGTGAGAGGTTGCTTGTTACGCCTGCAGTAAATGAACCACAATCACAACCCGGTATCAAAATGGTCTACCCAGAACCATGTAAAGAATCAAGAAGGCAGATGTCCGCAACTATTTCTGGCTGGACGGCCCCTTACTAACCTTCATCTACCCAGATTTTGAGGACGTGGCTCAAATGAATGAAGCTGATCAAACCTTGGAGACACGAAGGTAGATTTGTCTGAACCAAAAAACATCCAGGTCTAAGCCGAACCGCGGAGAAGAAAGACGCCCCGCAAAAGCTCCCATCTAAGGGATGGGTGTTTCTCAAGATGGCTTCTCTTAAAACCCTAGTTGGGGTGTTTCTTAAATGTGGACCCCTGGCTTAGTTTCCTTTTGGTTTCCCTTTGAAACCATGCAAAAAGGGTTCCGTACAATTTGATGTTGTCTTTCTTAAAGGCAACCCCCTTTCCAAGGGGTGCATTTCTTTTCGGGAAAACCGAGAGGACACCAAAGCCAATGGGGTGAACTGCAAACCCACAATTATGGCTGGTGAATTCCAACCTTTATTGGTCCCCAGGATTTTGGGGCAATGACCCATTTGTGAATTCTAATCACTCTGGTGGACATCATTTTGGTGGGGATGTTTATGCCCACAAAGCAATTGGGAGGGGGTTTTCCATGAAAATTCATAGCCATTTGGGTATGGGTCAAAATTGAACCACCTGGGAACCGCTGGTTTTCGTCCATGTTTCCACTTAGGGTTCCATTTTGGGTACCTATTGCTTGTCCCACCGCCATTTCTAAGCTAGGTCCTCCAAATTTGAGAGGAGTTAGAATAAGTCGGCACCAACTTTTCTCTCTTTTGTCTATTTCAGTAGAACCTTTCCCCCAACCCAAAAAGAAAAACGGGTGGGAGGCCGGGCACCGATTGCTGGGGAGACCTTCGAGCCTTCAGAGGCTCCTTCGAGGCCTCGGAGGCTTCGGAGGCTCGGGCCGCCGGGCCCCCAGGAAGGCAGCCGCAGCACCAGGTCCGCAGCGAAGGGCCGCTGCCTCGATCCGCGCGTCCGATGGGCCGAACGGGGAGACGCTCAGACTTTTTTTTTTGCCTCCGCTCGATGGGCCAAACGGTCTCAGATTTATTTTTATTTTTTTTTGGGGGGGGGCTGGCTTTTCGGGCGCGGGAGAGATATTTTTCTCGGAGTCTTTTTGAGGGGCAGGGAAATACAGATGGGCCTCAAATCTGAAACTGTCCAAACGAACAGGGACCATCACCCCATTTTGGGGCAACCCCATGTTTGGGGGAATCTTGAGGGTTCAGGAGGGGAACCCTCAATATGGAGTTCGGTGGTCCCTTTGCTTCCCTTTCGAACCACCTAGAAAGATTCCGTTCCGCTGTAGATACCAGGAAGCAATCGTTTCAACCATGGTTTCATTTCGCTCTGTGAATTGGATTTCGCAACCAGCCTTAAACATGGGGCTGAATGGCAACCCAACATTATGGTACCCGCTGTCAGAAGTTGGGCCAAAGCTTTATTTCGAACCTCCGAGAAAAAAGAAGAAGAAGAAGCAAAAAACAACTCTCGCCACTCGCAACTCGGCCCCGCACTCGTCGAAGTTGAACTCAGCAAAGTCGAGGCCTGAGCTTGTCAACTGCAACATCTCTTGGATCACTGGTGTTTTATGCACCACCTAAAGCGTTCCGGAACCCAGCCCAAGAGAATTGGCTTCCTTTGACCTTCCCTTAACAGGCTCCACCGTATCGAGAACCCATGTGGGCGCGTCTGTTTTGGAGTTGGTACCCCCCTTTGGTGGGTTTTGAAGGGAAACCCCAGAGGAAAACTAGCACTTTGGGGGGGTCCCCATCAATATAAACCCTACTGCAACCCAGAATGAAATTGTTAAGACCCGTTCGGTGGGGCGAGGCAGGCCTTCCCCAGTTGCAACCAGCCCGTTAGAAATATAAAAAGGACCCCTTCTGGAGGTTGACCATTGGAGGGCAACCCAAAACTGAAGATGTAGGTCTCTGGTTGATTGGGTGTTTCTCAACATAGTTGCTCTACCCCCCCCCCCCCCGGAAAAAAATATGAAGAAACTGGGTCCACGCGCCATAGATGGCCGTGGGTTTTTGGTCATGCTCGCAGCAGCGAAGCGGTCAAACACATTGATATTCCCATGGTTTTTCATGCATCTGTGTTGCTTCAATCTCTGTGCTTGCAATTCCAGTGGGAATTAGCAAAACCAGTGCTTCCACAAATAGAATTGCAACTTCAACATGCTTTCACGGAATCCCGCAAACTAACTGCCGATTTCACAAAATGTTGTCGATTCATCAACATATATCAATTCTGCATACTGATGCGACCACCATCTTGCGACAACCATCTGATGTGTCACCCCTTGCAACTGGACGCCAGCGAGACTAAGCGAGAGGGCGGAAAACACGCAGAACGCCTCAGGACGGAGCAATAAGCAGACCAAAGCACAGGCAAGCAAAGGCCAAGAGACTCAAAGGCCAGTGGAAACCGATGAGGCAGCAAGCAGCAAGACTATCTCTGCCACGAGCGACAAACACGGGTCCGGGGTTTGCGTCACTACGTCAAAGAGAGAGTCCAGGCACACAGCAAAAAAAGGATCCAGGATTGGGTGGCAGCAGAAAAGAGGGGACGAGCCAGCACAGCGCAAGATCAGGACGAGACCTAAGGCGAGACGAGCGTCCTCGGAAAGGTACATTTGAACCAAAACTGAAGACAGACATGAACGCTGTGGACGAGTCCGAGATCAACCCCCCCCCACCCCATCCCCCCTCCCCCGCCGGCTGAAAAATCAGCGAAAATACACGGCCGTCTATGGCGCGTGGTCCAACTACCACCCCCCCCCCCGAAAAAAAGAAATGAAGAGATAGGTGTCCACCCCCCCCAAACCCCCCCCCCCCCCTGCAAAAGAAAAACAACACATAAAGAAATCGGTGTCTGGGAGGGGAATGCCTTGGAATTGGATCCCAACGTAGCAATCCCTGAGGGCGGCACTGCCCATCTTCTGGACGACGGCCAAAGCCTCGTTCACCCCCATGCCTGAAGGCACCGCCGAAGAGCGTTCTTTTTGGTGCTTCCCCCGCCCAACAAAAACACGTGGATGGGGAAGCACCAATGAAGCAAACAAAAAAAAACACTGGTTGACGAATCGGGGGGTGTCGGGGATCCGGATCACTTTTGTGGGTCACACCTGCGGTTTTCAGTGGGCGTCAGGCGGCGTCCCTTTGAGTGCTTCCCCTCGACGTTTCGCTACAGGTCACCAGGGGGAACCAACCGGACTGTTGATTGTAGGCCATAACTAGAAATAATTAGAACCACAAAACCTCAAAACACATGCCAACAACTGTGAAGGTAAACCAGGTAAGAACCCCTTTGGCTATTGCGGCGAGACTCCGAAGGGAAGCACTGGGTTGGGAATTCAAGACCTGAGATAGACGTTGGTGGGGCAAAAAGATCGATCTCGAATCTCACCATTGGATGCAGTTGCGGGGACTCAGGCCGTTCGCTGCCAGCTGGTTGCACCCTGGTATTTGACTGGGAACATGTCACATGCAAAGATGCCTTCAGAGGTTCCCTTTGGCTTCCCGTCAAAGGCTTCCCCTTAAATCTGCGCGAAAAAGTGGGGGGGGGGGGGGTCCCAAGAAAGACACACACCAAATGGATCCACAAAGCACTGCACATCGGCTCATGCGTCTTCATTTTCTACTCACTTCCGTCCATCAAATTTAGGCTTCCAGGAGCAACTCACAACATGATGCGCCACTGAAGCGCACCCAAAGCCACAGTCAAAATATGCGGGGAAAGGACTTGCAAGATAATAATAATAATAAACATGCCAACGACAGTGACGGATTTAAGAGACGGGGGCTTTCTACTTGTTCATTTACCAGAGCAACCCATTTTGGGCCGAACCCCTGTTTTCGAGCAGCCATTTGTTTCCAAAAGGTCTACCTGGACCTTCAAACTATCCATAAAAGGGAGGTCACCAACAGTAATTTAGGGTTGCTATATCACATTTTAAGTTGGAATTATGTGTTTGGAAATCCCAACTTCCAGTGCTTCCCTTCGGCGTTTCGCCAAAACAGCCAAAGGGGCTCTTGGCTACACACAAACAAACAAACAACCAGCCAGTGGTTTTGCGACCCAAAAAAGATATTTGGAACCATACCAAGTGGTGGACAGCTCATGGAAAACAATGAGAAACACACAATCCAGTAGTGAGCTCGAATCCAACGTGTTTTCAACCAGCCAGGGAAAGAGTTACGCAAATCTCCGATTCCCAACAGAAAAGCCAACCGGGGAAAATAAGACACATCATGTTGACCCCGGACTGATAAACCCCTGTTTATTGATATGGGGGGTGTCAACCTGGTTTTAAAAGGGATGTATCACATTTTGCAGAAGACCCCCATATCGATGAACAGGTTTGTATCTCACTTCCCAAGTTGACTGGCCAAAAAAAAGCCCGAACTTCTTATTTACCACTAAAATGGTCTTCCCCAAAAAAAATATAAAGTCCATCAACCCAGGCAGTGAGTATTCTTCGTCCGGGTCAACAAATTAGTTTCCGCCGCCGGAAGTTCGGGGAGCCGTTTGCAGCAGCTCCCAGTGCCATCGGGGCGACAAGAGCGTCGCCTAGGTGGAAGGCGCCCACGCGGTGGGAAGGCTCCACGGACCACGCGCCTGGCGCTGCGGTCGGAACGGAACTGTTCTCCTTTTGTTTTCTCTTTTTTTAATAAGGGGGGGTGTCCTTTTTTTGTTTGGGGGGGGGGTCTTTTTTTGGGTTCCTGTTTTTTTGGGAAGGGGGCGGTCCTTTTTTTTTGGAGGGGGGCGTGCGTCGGGGGGGAGGGGGTTCCGTTTTTTTTTTTTTTTGGGGGGGGGTGGCGCTTGAACATTTTTTGGCAGGGCAACCCAAAAAGCCAAAAGCCAGTGGCATGTTGTGGCATTGCGTGGCTTGTTGTGGCTTCTTGGGGCTGTCGTCGTCATCTCGGTTTCTTGATTTGAAGAATCTAGGCGTTGATTCCCTGTCCATTCTTTTTCAGCCATGCTTCTTTTCAAAAACCGATCGCTGCTTCCAACCTGGGCTGTCGATGTCCTCCTGAAAGGGAGGATCCCTGGAAAGAATGGAAATGGACGCTTCCCCGGAAACATACTGGACGGACGAGTCACCCATTTCGCACCTCCCTGTGCCCCACGTCAGGTAGGGGTAAGGGGACAATTCCGCGGGAAGAAGCCGCTGCAAACCACTTTGGAACCCTGGTTGCAACCCAAAAGTTGGGTGGCATTGACAGGGGAGTCGAATCATTCCAGGGTTTCTGAAAGAGAACCTTAAGACCCCCAAAAAAAGTTTGCCCTCGCATGAGTGTGGGTCAAACATAGCGTCACCCCAAAATGGGTTGCCCATTCTGAAAATGGGAGAGTTTCCTTTGGGCGTCCCTTTAAACCCAAACCACTCCAACCGAATTGCCTCAAAAAGTCAAATTTGGAGGCCTCGGAGCTCGGAGCTTTTTCTGGAACCAGCAACTTTGTTGGCTGCCCTGACAAAACAAGGACCCGATTTGACGGGGGTTCAGCAAAATGCCGAAAACAAAACTGCTGCCCCAGAATTATGGGGTGAATTCTTGTGTTTCTGGAGAGTTTGAGGGTCCAGCTACACTTTTGGCACATTGGCAAGCCAACTACATGCCATGCGCTTTCCTGTCGCAGATGGTTGGCCAAGTTAGCTGGTTCGCCGAGCTGCTGACCCCTAAGTCCCCTGGAAACCAGTGGAACCCACAAATTGCTAGTTTGTCTAGGTCCTCCAGTAGAGAGCTTTGTTTTTCTACTTGTCTATTTTAGTAGGGGAACCCTCCCAACTAAAAAAAGGGTCAGAAAGGGCACTACTGGGGGACCTGGCCAACTGGGGCGAACACAGGCCATCTATTAAATCACATCTTCCCCGCCTGACAGCATCTCGCCAGCAGGCGGGTCAAAAGAATTGCTACCCCTGCATGGCGTCTGAAGGTTGGGAGCACATTGCAAATCTCACTTCGGTGGATTGGCACAAGTCCGAACTTGGCAACTCAAATGGCTCAAGCCCAAAGCGACTCAAGCCCCGAAGCACTCAGGGAGTTGTTTGCTGCGCGGAAACTTGTGACCAATTCTCCGCAATGACCGCTGATCCATTGTTAATCTCCGCAGGCACAAGTCAGGAGGGTTCAACTTGGAGGAACACAATCCAAAATGACCGGGCGATTCAGTTGCCAGGTCTCACCATTTCACTCCGCCCCAACAGTTTGGAAAGCGCAAGCCCGAACGCCTACCTCAGAAAATAATACAACCAAATGAGGCCAGTTGTGGGTGCAGGGGCCTGGTTCGCTGCGCTTTCTGGCTGTTTCTTGCATTTGCCTAACCTGACCGAATCGCATCACTGGAGCGGAGCTGGCGAAACTGGATCGCAGCGCCGGTTGCACCCATGGACCACACCAAGTGGCCCAGCCCGTGAGGCTGGGAGGATCGGGTTCAAGGTTGCTGCGTGGGTTCAGGGCGAATGGATCGGCAGTTCAAAATATCTCTCTTTAAAAAACAAAACAGGGACTCGTTGAAGATCTCTTAAAATAAGGCACTCCCCACAAAATGGCATCGGTTTTCTTTTTGTGCTTCCTTTTCGTCCCCGCCAAAAAGGGTTCCAACTCAGGGAGCCAAAGCACTCCGCAAGCAGCAATGCTCCAAGCTCCACTATGAGTCTCTTTTTTTGAGGGCACCCAGGGTACCTAGTCACCCCAGAAATTTTGGGGCAACCGATGTTCAAAAGGATTTTTACTTACCCCTTAAAACTCCAAGCCCTGGGGAAGTTCTCATCTTTTACAGACATATAGCCCATGTTACCCCAAAAGTTGAAAAGTTGTGTTTTTAAGAGGTAAGAATGTTCAAGATGATTTTGAGGGTCCTGGTACTTTCCTTTTTTCCCCCCCCCTGTTGGCTTCGAAGGAACACCGAAAGGACAACCACGAGTTTGGGTTTTCGGTCCCTTGCAAAAAGACACACCCATCGTGGTTGAGTAAGGGAAACCAAAAGGCAATCAACAATTTGTGGGTTCCCGACAAAAAACATCCTATGGAGAAGGAAGGATGGGCACCGGTGAAGGGGCTGACAGCTTTCAAGCCTGCATGTCAGCTTTAACAGGGATCCTTACATTATACACCTGAACATTGCCTTGTAGATGGTGGTGTCCCTTTATCCGCTGACATTGCTCGGCGTGTCGGATACTTACTAGAGGATAAAGGATAACCCCCCCCTAACCCCCCCCCGCCCGACGTCTATTACGTAGGTTTTTTTGGGGGGGGGGTCCCCCACGTACCGCGCGGCAATTTGATGACGTTCCACTAAACGTAGTCTTCGGGGAGCCGGTGTCGCAAAACAGGGGTCCCAGGCTCGATTCCCCCTGCCGGCTTTTTTGCTGGCTTGGGCTTCCTGCATCCTTTTGCCGAAAATCTGGAAAAACTCAATGTTTTTGGACGTCCTCTTTGCGAAAACGCTGGAAAAACCGTGTTTTTTTTGCGGGAAATACTGGGGAGCAAAGGGGAAGTGCAAGGGGGTGCATACATACATACATACATTACATACATACATACATACATACATACATACATACATACATACATACATACATACATACATACATACATACATACATACATACATACATACATACATACATACATACACATACATACATACATACATACATACATACATACATACATACATACATACATACATACATACATACATACATACATACATACATACATACATACATACATACATACATACATACATACATACATACATACATACATACATACATACATACATACATACATACATACATACATACATACATACATACATACATACATACATACATACATACATACATACATACATACATACATACATACATACATACATACATACATATACATACATACATACATACATACATACATACATACATACATACATACATACATACATACATACATACATACATACATACATACATACATACATACATACATACATACATACATACATACATACATACATACATACATACATACATACATACATACATACATACATACATACATACATACATACATACATACATACATACATACATACATACATACATACATACATACATACATACATACATACATACATACATACATACATACATACATACATACATACATACATACATTACATACATACATACATACATACATTACATTACATTACATTACATTACATTACATTACATTACATTACATTACATTACATTACATACATACATACATACATACATACATACATACATACATACATACATACATACATACACATACATACATACATACATACATACATACATACATACATACATACATACATACATTACATACATACATACATACATACATACATACATACATACATACATACATACATACATACATACATACATACATACATACATACACATACATACATACATACATACATACATACATACATACATACATACATACATACATACATACATACATACATACATACATACATACATACATACATACATACATACATACATACATACATACATACATACATACATACATACATACATACATACATACATACATACATACATACATACATACATACATACATACATACATACATACATACATACATACATACATACATACATACATACATACATACATACATACATTACATACATACATACATACATACATACATACATACATACATACATACATACATACATACATACATACATACATACATACATACATACATACATACATTACATACATACATACATACATACATACATACATACATACATACATACATACATACATTACATACATACATACATACATACATACATACATACATACATACATACATACATACATACATACATACATACATACATACATACATACATACATACATACATACATACATACATACATACATATACATACATACATACATACATACATACATACATACATACATACATACATACATACATACATACATACATACATACATACATACATACATACATACATACATACATACATACATTACATACATACATACATACATACATACATACATACATACATACATACATACATACATACATACATACATACATACATACATACATACATACATACATACATACATACATACATACATACATACATACATACATACATACATACATACATACATACATACATACATACATACATACATACATACATACATACATACATACATACATACATACATACATACATACATACATACATACATACATACATACATACATACATACATACATACATACATACATACATACATACATACATACATACATACATACATACATACATACATACATACATACATACATACATACATACATTACGTACATACATACATACATACATACATACATACATACATACATACATACATACATACATACATACATACATACATACATACATACATACATACATACATACATACATACATACATACATACATACATACATACATACATACATACATACATACATACATACATACATACATACATACATACATACATACATACATACATACATACATACATACATACATACATACATACATACATACATACATACATACATACATACATACATACATACATTACATACATACATACATACATACATACATACATACATACATACATACATACATACATACATACATACATACATACATACATACATACATACATACATACATACATACATACATACATACATACATACATACATACATACATACATACATACATACATTACATACATACATACATACATACATACATACATACATACATACATACATACATACATACATACATACATACATACATACATACATACATACATATGTACATGCATGCATACATACGAGAGAGGGAGATTGGGGGAGAGAGAGGCTTGGGGGGATGGGGAGGATGGGAGCAGAGGGAGGGAGAGGACGACAGAACACACAAGGGAGACAAGGAAGAGAGGAAGAAGGAGAAAAGGGAGAGGACAATGTCGGCGGACTGAGCCGGAGGCTCTAAAGTTTTGGTGGAAAAAGCCATGTTTCAAATGGGCAAAATGTATCTTTTAAGGAGCCCTGTTAACCATGCATCATGTCACCACTGTTGACTAGTGGCACTGCAATCCAAAAGGCATCTGCTGCTGAACGTGAGAGCTTTCTTTGGGCTTGTCCCTCAGAGCAGAGTCACATCCGCCAACACAAAACGAGTGTCTCTCAAATGGATGCCTTCAGGTGGATGACGTCCTCTTGGCTTCCCCCCCAAAAAACCCAACAACAACTGGACCCCTATTTCGAGAAACACCCATATACTTCTCAATCCGTCATGCCAGTAGCAACTTGCAAAACTGTGCACAAATGGCCAACACCATTTGGCATCTCTTCAGGGGCCTTCAAGGCCTTTGCTTAGCGATAGATCCCTCATACGAATGCATGACACAAATCCTAGTCTTGCTCAAGCCAGGGTCAACCAACTGGACGGCTGATTGCATGCGGCCGTGAAACGATCTCCGACTCCCCATTCCGATACGAGCAGGTCCCCAGGAACCAGGGAATCAAACTAAATCCAGCCTCCAATGCCTCCAATGCCTCCAATAATTACCCCAACAAACCGCCAGGTGCGGAGGTTTCCGACTTCCGGGTTTAGAAAACCACAAGTTGAGCGGCGACCACTTTCCATTCAAAGCTGCTATGGTAACAAAGCCATTTCTCACAGCTTTCGGCTCAACGGGAATCCTCAAAAAAGTTGATATACCAGCCTTCGCTAAAAAAATCCGTTTGGGCTTTAGAGCGTGGTTGCCTTGGTTACCAACTATACAGGAAAATGGATCCAGTGGGATCAATAAAACACATGTTGAGCATACCAAAAGCTTACCCTAGCTTCGCGCACTCTTGTTCACCCCATGTTTCGCAGTCGTGCCGCGGTTTCCGGCAGATTTCGATGGCTGCTTTGGCCGAGTTGGCGAGTTTGCGTGCTGCGTCTTCGGGCTTTTAAAGCCCAAACAGCCGCATCTCTTGCTCCTTTCCGGATTCCAAGTGAATATGGATGTCTTTGGGAGACACCCGAGAACATGATGGTTTACCTTTTGGTTTCCCTCTGAAACCACCAACAAAGCGGTACCCTCAAACAAAGGCACATAGCCATAATGTTTGTATATATAAAGATAGAGAAAGCACATGGAATGAGTTTTGAAGGCTTTCACTCCTTTGAACCTTTTGAAGTGAGAGGGGTCCCTAGATTTCTCCTCTGATCGCCCAAAAGGACACTCATTTTGAGCTGGCCTATTCTGCGGATGGACGAAATCGATGGCGCACCAAGACACCATGGTTGAAACCATCGTTCGTTGGTATTCACAGGGGAAATCGAAATCGTACAGTTTGTCAGGTGTTGCCAATATCCTCGAACAAGGTTCTGAACCCAAAGCCGAGCTTCGCCACGAGGCATCTATTTTGAGCGGCTCGGCGCTCAAAATAAGGGAAAAATACCCGGTTGTTCAGTGACCCTTTGGTTGACTTTGAATCCCAAACTGCTGATTTTGTTTTGGCTTCCGCACCCCCAAATCAACAAGAGCACCAACTCCCAGCTGGCAGCGACCCTGTTAGAAAATGGATCGGCACCCTTTTCGGTTGATTCTGGATGTGCTGGGGAAATCAACCGAAAGACAATCATTGGAATCCCCTGAACCACTGAGAAATTCCTGGATATTGATGATCCATGTTTCGTGGGGATGCTCGCAAGGATGCAACCGCGGAAACACCACCCCCCCCCAAAAAAAAGGAAACATAAAATAATGCAACACAATTGGCAACCCTGCCCCCCCCCCCCCCCAACAAAAATAATAATATAAAAATAATAAAAAGAACAACATGCACTGGGTGTCGGGGCCACTGGACAACTGGGTGAACGGTCGCGTCACTGTGGGCAACACCACAAGGCGCGACGCCCGCGATCCGGCGCCTGGCTTGTGGCTTGCGGGTTTCGGGTTTCGACGCGTGCCAGGAGTCAAGGCCGAGTGTCTACCCCGCATGCGGACACCTGGACCCTCAACCCATGAAACACTTGGATTTCACCAACCAGCTGCAAGAACCCGTTCTTTTTGTGCTGAAATGTCGCAGGTGAACACATGTGGGGATGAATTTTGACTGACTCTTTGTTGGACATCATTTAGGTGGGGACTTCTGGCCACCAACAAGTTTTTTTGGACGGGGTTCCCTATTGAAGGACGGGGTTCCCGCACCCAGTTGTGCAATCGAGTGCTCAATTGGGAATCGCTTGGCGGGTGAAGTTCTTGTTTACTAGAACGGCCTACACAAATTCAAAGTTGCTTGAGGGGTTCCCAATGATCTAGCCGATTGCATTCGATGGTATTGAACATGCTGAAATCACACTACATGTCCTGTTGACCTTTTAAAACGGGGGAAGCCAGGGTCTTGCACGGTTTACCCAATTAAGCCATAACCAAAACATGGTACTAACATGGTCTACCCAAAATCATGTAAAGAGTTGAGACGGCGGCTGCACCCATTTATAGTTTGGGCTATCCCTTACTAACCCTCATCTACCCGGATGTAGAAATTGTGCGTGCTTGATGCCAGCGAATTCCTTGAGAACAAGTCACTTGTAAGTTGCAATGTTTGCTCTTGGGTGCTCCCATTTCAGTTTGTTTTCTGTGGCCATTCCAACGGTTTCGGTGAAGTGACGTTACATGTTGAACATAGGGCCTTGGGATGCCTTCCGGTGAGTTTCTCAGCCGAGCCAAGTGGCAAAAGGGAAAAATCGCATTAATTGGGCCAAAGAGAATTACCTCCAGAGTGGATTGGCTACAAAGCCTAAACTTTGGTCGGGTTGCAATGAACTGGACCTGAAAAAAACAAGTGACAGCGGTCTCTTTTTATTGGGACATTTCAAGATTGGGTTTTCCTCAGACCGATTTGCTACCCTTATCCAATGCTGCCAGTTACCACTACAGTAGGTAAGCTCAAACCGCAGGTTGCAGGCCCCTTATTTGTTGCCTTAGTTAATCTACCGTGGTGCCAACGTAATCGCCTAACGTGATGAAGTAGTGTCACAGGTGGCACTTGGTTTCCCCTTCAACACCTCAAAGGGGTAATTGGTGTCAAGAAAAGGCGAACTCCAACATTTCTTGGTTGACGTTGGGTTTGGGGAGCAAAAAAAAAACAAATTTTAGCCGCTAAGTGGATTTCAACCACTAAACCGCAATAAGATCAAAAATACGCAAAATGTGTCCCAACGGCAACCGAGATTTGTCGGTTGCTGACTCCAAACCGCCCCTGGCGTTTCTCGCCTTCCGCCCGGGCAGGGCAGGCAGCCTCGGATCCGTCGACTTGAGGTCACTGAGCCCGGTCGGGTGAAAATTCAGGTGGGCAGAGCCATGCAGTTGCCAGCGGAAAATGGATTTCTTCCATCCCTCAAACTCCCAGCGTGGATTGAGTATTACCCAAAAAAAATACGGGCCGGGTGAATTCCAAGACTTTTTTGGTACGGGTTTCAGGGTCCAGGAAGATAATTGGGCTCAGAGAAACTTGCCCAAACGAAACCCGGTGGAGTTTTGCAGAGCCACACCCTGCTGTTTGTTCTTTCCCTCAGCTCTCAGATGATTTTGCCAGGCTTGGGTCGAACCAAGCGAGGCTGCCACTCGCTGGCCTTCGAATGGAGGAACAGCAGCCGTCGCAAGGGAATTTGCCAACTTGGCCAAGGTTGGCCTGTTTGTTGACACAGGCACCCAATGCGCACCAGCTACGCCTTCCCCTCCCCGAAGGAACAAAAACCAGCCGAAGTCAAGTTGTTTGGTTGCCCGCTACGACTGGGCAACCTCTGGCACTGGTTCCTGGTTCTGTTATTCACCCGAGCATTGCCCCCAACACGGGCTTGCGTTTCAAGCGTACCCTTCTTAGGTTGGTTGCAAGGGAAATCAAAAGGAACACCACCATTTCAGCTCGGTTGCTTTCTGCTCCCCTGCTAAAAGTTTAACTTTTAGTGGTTTAGTGGAAACCCCATTCTTTGGGTTTCCCTCCATCGAATCGAATCTCCTAGCCCCTTTCTAGGATTTGCTTGCGCAAATGCAAGCAAGTGCTTGCTGTGCAGTGTGCACATGCAACCGCTTTGAATCATTGAAGGTGTTGGCATCCATCCTAGAGGAAACTCCTTTTGGGAAACGGACCTCCTTTTTGAAATGTGTCGGTTGTACCAACAAAAAAACATTCCAAAAACAAACATTATGTTCACTGGGTCCCTAATTTAGAGCCAAACCTGTATCATCCGGCGCAGCCGCTTTCAAGCTGCGCCGCCGCTTTGCAGCTCGACTTAGGCGCCCCGCCACTTCCCTTTGCTCTCCTTACCTGTCGAACGCAACCCCAAGCAACTGGTTGGTCCACAACTTGTGCCCACTATTCCCTGGAAGCCTCGTGTCAGAATGAGGCGCCATAGGGTTCCCGAAACGGGTTCCTTTAGGGAGCTTAGGCAGCCCCTACTGGAACATGGGTATTTGTCAAGATAGGGCGACCCTAAAGATGGTGTTCCGAATCCCTGTTGGCTTCCTTTCCTGTCTCCCGAAACGAGCACCTGGACCCTGAAACTACCCATAAGCAAGCGAACGGGACTTGATTTTTTCTATGAATCGACCTCTTTGCTTGAGAACGGCAGCTTTCAGAAACCCACCACCTAGGTTCCATGACTGAACACTATACATAGAAACCACCTAGAGAAACCACCACAAGGGCATGGTTCTTTCGGGGTTCCAGGACGAACCACTTTTTGAGGCGGGGAAATCCTGGACCCTCAAAAGAACAAGCCGCGGACCTTGGGAGTTGGCACTGAACAGCGGCAAGGCTCCATCAAGGAAGTGTCCCGATTCCGGCCCCGGCCCCTTGCAGTTCCCTGAACTTGTCGGGTAAACTAAATATTTCTTTAGAATCTGTTTCGTATTTAGCTAACTTCCTGAGTGGATTGGCGAACAAGAACTCTGTTTGTGTTTTGTTTACCACTCACAAGGCCTTCCCGAAATGATTATTAAAGTTCCGGAACGCAGGAAGCGAGTTAGTCAACCGCAAAAACTAGAACCATATTCGAGACCTCAGTCTTGGCAGCCCACAAAATAGCGCCCACGGTCAAGGAATTCACTGGCTTTTGAGATCAATTACAACTCCTTTTTTAGTGATTGAAGGGGACACAATGAGAAACTCTAGGCATCCTTTTGCAAGAACTATGGCGCTGGCAAGTGATTGAAAAGAAGCACACAGGGCCTCCTCTTTCAACTAAACTGACCAGGCAGCAAACCAATGTGGCTAGGAAGCTTCTAGGGACCCACCTCAAAAGTGGTTGATGGATATGCCTACGAAAGGGTCTAATTTAAAGTGGCCAAACGAATATCTTGCGCAAGCGATTGGCATGGCCAGTCTGTTCAACACGCATCATGTGGGTGTCCCCCTTAGAGAAGGCGCCCCTTTTGTTGGTGTGGCTTGCGATTGGACTCAAAAGGAACACCAGGAGCACAGGAATCCACTTCCCGGCCTGGCGGTGTGGAGTACGCCAGGAAGCTGCCTTGCGAAGCCTCCATATGCTTGGGCTATGGAGGGCCGCTCAGCGAAAAGGGTGGACATCCTGTTGCCTGGTGGCTGCCCTTTTTTGTGTTTTCTGCTTTTTGGTTGTTGTGTTTTGAGAAAGCACCAGGAACTCTACCAGTTTGGGGGTCCTCTGGGAAACCAACCCAGGCATTTGGAAATGCCACTCCCTCAGCGTCCGGCTACGGGGCTAGGTGTAGCCGCAGTCCTGAAAAATGGCGTGGCGGTGTTCCGGTTGGTTTCCTTAACAAACAAGAACCCTCAAACCGTTTAGAGGGAAAAGGCACCAACTCCGAAACAAAGGCGCCCCAACTTTAAGCAAAGACACACCCAATGGAGCCCCAAGGGGTTTCAAAGCGGGTTTTGCCCCAGGAGGTCTTGACCACCGGGGAAACCATCCAACCCTCCTGTCCAAAGAAGGTTTCACCATCCGTGGTAAAGCCCGGAAAGAAAGCCAGCGCCAGACCATGAAACATGGGTGGTGAAAAGATCTCTTCACTTGAGTCATAATCAAAGCCGATCGGTATTAAAAGGGCTTACCCAAAACCATGTTTCAAGAACTCAAAAGGCGGCTGCGCCCAAAAAATGCTTTGGACTGTCCCTAAACCGAATGGAAAACAACCATTTTTGCGGGTCCCCCAAAAGAAGACAGACCCATATCTACTCAACCCTAAAAATGATGAAGACGGCAGTTCATGAATTTGCGGATAGATCTGGACTCGTGCAACTGAAACAAAGGCCCACGATATCATGTCTCGTCCTTCTGTTGGTTGCGATTCAGGGCCTTCTTCAAGCCATGGCTTAAAATCACGGTGTTATTCACGGATTCTTGGGCCAATCAAGTGAAATGGAGCTCCTTTCCCCTCAAAGGGGACCAGGGTTGATGGTTTAACTCACTTCCTGGATTGGCCAACAACAAGTCGGAGCTAAATGCCAACAAGTGCAACTCAAGTGAGCAGTGTTTTTGTTGGTGGTTCGAGGCCTATACACTACTTGCATGCCTACGCGAAGACCTACGCAAACCTACGCGGCCTGCGAGGGGTGCCTACGCGAGCACAAGTCAGCTTCCAGGTGCCTACGCGAATGCCTACGCGGGCAAATGTTGAGTTCGAGTGTCGAAGTGCAGTGGCAGCTCCAGCTGGAAAATCGCAACTTTTCAGTTTTGGCAGCTCCGGCTCTAAGATCAGAATTGCTGTACAAGTGATAAGCCCGCATCTGTCCAAGGATCTGGCTGCCAGAAAAGGTCTACGTACCCAAAATGCCTTGAAAGCCTACGCGAATGCCTACGCGGGGCCTATGCGGAGCCTACGCGAAGACTCCAGAACAACAGAAGGAAGGCAAAAGAAGCAAATTCATTTATACTTGGCAAACAGCACTGAGTCATGATTTGTTCAACAAACGCCTACGCGAAAAGCCTACGCGAGGGGTGACACAACAGCCTACGCTGAAGCCTACGCGAGCCTACGCCCCCAACCAGGATTGCCTCCGCAAAGTACATGCAGTTCCCTTTTTGTATAAACCCTTTCATTTGATTAAAAAACGCTGCTCAAGTGCAACTCAAGTGCAACTCAAGTGCACCTCGAGTGAGTTTTTCCGACCCTTCTCGCCCAAGCCAAGCCCCCCCCAAACCAATTCCTGCTGCTCCCCCGTCTCTCAGCGGTTGGACCTTGGAACTGGCGGCTTGGAGAATTTCCACTTGCAGGTTCCATGGGTGAACTGATTAAGCGGGGAATGCCAAAATCAAGGCTCCGCATCCAGCAAGGGCGAAGCTGCACGCCAAAAACACTGACTCACTTTCAAAGGACACCCACTTGGGCGTTCGATTCGCCAACTTAGTAAGTTGCTGGCAACCTGTGTAACCCACTAAGCCTTCCGCTCATGGAGTCAACCTTGTTATTGGTGGGTTACGACCCAGGCTACCCGCACGTGACCTTCAAGGTACTAAGGCCATCTCAGCATTGTGCTTCTCACAACAGAGACCTGGACCCTCAAATTCCAACTTGAAAATGGGATTCTGGCCGTGAAATTGTGGGACTGAGTCCCTTTTTATGAATAGGGGTAGCTTGAGGATTCAAGGCCCCGCCCCCCAAAAAAAAATCGCGCTTCCTACTGGTGTCCCTGTACCAAAAAGGGTCCACCAATGGGGGAATCCTCTTTGTCGTGTAGGCCTGTTCTTGGAAGGCATGGCCGGAGGTGAAACAGCGTTAATTCCTTCCCCCTAATAATTGATCGTGTTATTTGTTTGCTGGTTCGCAACTGTGGTCCCCCTTTCCGAGTAAGGAATCTAAACAGCAGAAGTCGAGGTCATGTGTTGTGTTTTTCGCTGCGAGTTTTGGAGCACAAGGGACCTTTTGGAGTGAGGTGTGTTTCCTAAGGTAGACCCGAAGAGTAAAAACCAAGGTAGACCCAGTTTATCCAAAAGGCTTGGCCCTTGAGGGGCCCTTTCAGTTTGACCAGCCACGCGTGGGTGCCAGCCATCAAGGAAACGTACTCCCAGAGCTCCGGCTTGAACCTCGTAGCTTAGTAGCGGCTGTCTCCCGGAGCTCCGTCTCGAGTCACCGTACAGGACACGTACTCCGCGTCCCGATAGGGCTGGACTTGATAGGGGGAATTGCATCACCTTGGTGGAAAAACAACGCCGGGGTGCAGGCTTGATTACTTCAATGTACAGGCTTGATCACTTCAATGGGGACTGGCATCACAAAAGTTGGCCCAACCTGCAGCGAAACTGGGTTCCCCCTTTGAAGACATAGATGGCTACTGGTCAAGTACAACCAGACTGAACCCAGAATCCATGATTTGTCTCCTTCTAGAAAAACCAAGAAACAAACAGTGGCTTAGCACTGCGTCTATGGGCATAAGGAAGTCAGCTTCTGGCCAAAAGAGACTGGAGAAACGCGAAAACGTGTCGAGGCCAAAAGCCGTGTTGATATGCTCTTCAACTCCTCAATGGTGGCTTTCCCTTTCGGTTTCTTGGTGGTTGTTCCCTTCGTTTTTTGTTTTTCCACCACACAAAAACTGTGTTTTGTGTTCCCCTTCGGGTTTTTCCCTCAAACAAAAGGGCGCCCCAAGAAGAGTTGGACGAGCCGTTCCACCCGTCCGTTTTGCCTTTGGCGCTGGCCGCGTGGAGCTGGCCGCGCCCAGGGTTGGCGCTGCGCGTGACGCCTCACGTCGATTCCGTCGCTTCCGGGCGTTTTAATGGCAACGCGGGCCGATTCGAATCCGATTCTATTAAGTTAACGTTGACCCCGGATTTTGCTAAACCCCGGTTTAACAGGGGGGTGGTCCTGGATGAAATCTGGGGATTCATTACTTTTGGAAGGGAACACCCCCATATTCATAAACTGGGTTGACTCATCTGGGCTCAACGTTGCCTGCGACCCGAAAGCCATAAACAAGGAAAGGAATTCACCCGGCCCATACTTTTGGGTTGCAACAAGTCATTGTTTTCGTTGGACAAAATTGAGGGTCAGGCACACAAAAAGGATATACACACAGATTCCAGCAACCATGTGAACCTGTGGTGTTGGACCCCTTGGTCTGCTATTTCAAGGGGGGCGTATCCACAAACACCCCCATCGGAGTTCAACCGTGAGCCTATGTAAACCATTCTGGAGAGCCCCGACTGGCTCCTGAGGCGGGCAGCCAGTAATTCGGTCAATATGTCGACTGCAGGCTGCTTTCACAGCGACTGATTCCTGTCTCGGCACAGCCAACTGATTCCCTGGGCTTAATTTTTAACACAGCCTGAAGAGGCGTTGCGGCGAGCTCCAAACAACACCAAACGCTCCAACCAACGATTCAGGATGCCAATGTCACTCGACAAGAACATCAACTCGGGTGATGTGCTGTTCTTTGATCCCGCTGATTCCCAGCGAAACCAAGCCGTTCGACGCAAAATCGATTGCCACATCCACCAGCCCGACTGCCGAGGTGTTCTTGTCGGGTCCGGCAACTGACACACGCACAAGCCAAGGAAAGGGCAGAAGGCATCACTGAATTCAAGCCATCGGCGCCGGATGACCTTCACACTCAAAAGTGTTTGGAACATGTGCTTACCCCTTAAGACTCCAAGCCCTGGGGAAGTTCTCATCTTTTACAGACATATAGCCCATGTTACCCAGAAAGTTGAAAAGTTATGATTTTTAAGAGGTAAGTGTGCCATGGTTCAAAACTCCCCGTGGGAACCATTGTCATGATCCAAATTCTGAGCGGGTCCATGACCAATCAAGCACGGAAACGGGTGTTTCGACTATGGCACATATGTTGGGCCGTCAACGCTTCATCCACATGGTCGCTCCCCACCCTCATGGGTACCATCTTGCCGCGAGATTGGGCCCAGGCAAGATCTCGCTCATCTGCCCCTCCCCAATGCCGCGGGGTGGATACACCTGGCCATTGCTGAGTTGACTTCCCGCTTTTCAGCATAGAAACCAGCTTGAAACCATGTGACATCATAACTCTTGCTGGTATTGGGAATCATCATTCCAGGGTTTCTATTGGTGCAGGGTGCAGGATGTTGTCCATCCAGTGTTGCTCTTCTAAATTCCGCATTTAAGAGAATATCCTTCAACTGGCCATGAAGCTGATGAATGATATCATCTGGGTGAATTATAATCTTTCACCAACCTGAAATAAGGTGGATTGGGGGCTATTCCCCACAGAAACCACCATTTAGGGTGAATTCGGTCGTGTGAGGTCGTTATAATTCACCCAGATATGATCCCAAAGCTGAACGGAGAAGCACCCAGCTTGCAACCAGGCTTTGGCTGGAAGTTCGGATGGCCAAAAACGGGCAAAAGAGAGTTGGTGCAACAAAAATGGTCCTTGTGCGTCGGAGAAGGCGTGGGGCGCTTTTATCATACGGACCGTGATAGGGCTACCTTCCATTTCCATTCTTTCCAATCCTTCTTTTCAGGAAACCCTCAAAAAACCCTGGGGAAAACAGATCCGGTCTTTGAAAAGAACGATGCTTGAAGAGAATGGGGACTCGGAGTCAACCCCTAGAGTGATACGAAATGACGCAGGACTGCCTGGTAGGACCGGAAACGGATACGCTGCAATCTCGGGCATGGTACAAAACCCTTACCCAGGCATGATGGAACTAAAGTTGAGTTGAAACACGTATCACATGATTCTGAAAATTGGGCCCCTTCAACAACAGGGCTCCTCTTGTAGGAAACATCCGCATCTAATGAAGTGTGTCTCGACCCAGCTTCGCTTGCCGGTTTGCTGCCGGCTTTTCAGCCGAAAACCGCACTTTGCCACTGCAAACTCGCCCGCTTGATGTGCTTTCTTTCTGCTTTGTTTTTCGGGACACAACTGAAGGAACAGAGGAGGCCAAAATAAACCGCCTTCTCAAACGTCCCTTTAACATGGGCTCTTGCAACCCAAAATTGTGATTGGTAAATTCCGTGAGTTGTCAGGCACTTGCCTAGGTCCTCCAGTAGAGAGATTAGAATAAGGGTACCCTTTTTTCTGTAGTCGATTTTAGTAGGGGAACCCTCCCCCAAGAAAGGGTAGAAGGGCCTTCAGGGTCCAGGCACTTGCTTGCCGCAGCCATTTCTTGGCCATTCCGCTCGCTTGAATCCACGCGGGTTCCTGGACGAGTGGATTGGAAGGCCCAAAGATAAGTCGAAACTTGATCCACTAATATGGGTTTGCCCTTTTCCAGAGGACCCACCGAGTTGTGCTGTGCCTTTTGGGTTTCAATAGAAAACCCAACAAAAATGAACACATATGAATATATACAGCTCAAGCTCACCAAACCAGGGTGCATGGGGGGGGAGGTCCAAGACCACGGGGCACACAAACATGCTTTATCGCCCTTCAAACGGCAACCAAAGGAACGAATTTTGAGACGGTTGGTCCGAGCTCGGGGATTTTTGGTCCGGCCAAGGAGGTCTTTTATGGGGTTCTCATTTCGCCTCCCTGCCGCGAGGGAGACCAAGTCCAGGCTTGTTGCAGTCCAGCTTGTTTCTCAAATGTTGAGCCCCACGTACCTTCCACTGATCAACACCCCAACAAGTGAAGACAGTGAAGAGTTTAGGGGGATCACCACTGGGATTACCAGGTTTTACCATGGATGCTCAGGGGCTGCATGGATTTCCCCGAATCAAACTCTGATCAATTTACTCATGTTGTCCCTTGAAACAAACACCATGTTTGGTTCCAAAACGGCGAATGGAGGAAGGGAAACCCTTCTTCAAGTGCAACTTGAGAGGAGGTGCCTTCCATTTGCTCAAGCCGCCTGGCAAAAACGCGAACATGTGTCCAGTGACATGGGTTTGCTTTAACGCCAACAAGCTTTAGAACATGAAAAGCACCATATCCGCTTCAGCATCATGGAAGGTACCAACGTATGCGGCAGGCGCTCACGCCTGCAAGCTGCGGCAGGCGCCCTGCATGGACTTGATCTCGTGGGCCTGGTCGTCCACGAAGAGCACCTGAGGCACTTGCAATCAAAACCCATTCAAAAATTGATGAAGCTTGAGGGATGCTCCAGGGCTTGGCGGATTTTACTGGTCACGTATGGATGAATCAACCAGAGTCACTTATGTTGGGGCGGTCTTTTTTTTCTCTTCAAAAGTCCACAATCAGAACCCGGGTAGATGAAGGTTGAGGGATACTCCCCTTGCCATAAATAGCAGCGGACATCCGCCTTCTTAATTCTTGAAGCATGGTTCTGGGTAGACCATTTTAATACCGGGTTTTGATTATGACTCACCTGAAGGAGCAGTGGCTGGGTCTGGTGGGGTGGGGTGGGAGGTCCAAGGCCATGTCCAGAAACTAACAGACGAGGGGAACATCTTGGCTTGGCCAAAGATGATGAAAGGCGCGAACTGCGGTCCGGAAAAAGGCGAACCATGACAAAAGAGTCACTAACTCTCAAGGTGTTCGTAACACTTGGTCGACGTTGGGTTAGGGGAGCAAAAATTCTCAAATATTGGCAGTTAAGTGGTTGGATTTCAACCACTAAACCACAATTTGCGCAAAAATGGGAAAAATGTTTCCCAACAACAACCATGAACATGGCGCCCGTTTTCTCTTGCTGGTGCTTGTGTTCGAGTACGTCTGCCATTGCTTGGCCCCTGAAGTCCCTCCCTCCCAAGCCCGGTCTCTCCAGCCCAAAAAAGGCACTGAGCACTGGGCTCGTCTTTTCGAGTCCCGTTTTGGGGTGCCCGGACCTTTAGAATTCCTAGTTTACAAAATAGGTAAATTGTAACCCATGTTTTGTGGTGATCTAACTCTGTTTGTTGGGTAGTTGCAGGTTTTTGGGGTGGTTGTAAAGGGACCAAAGGACAGAACCATGGGGTCAAGGATTCCTATAACCATGGGGAGATAAGGAATCATATGAATGCTATGCATTCGCTGCTAATTGTCTCCAAGAATAGAATTACAAAATGTGATATAAACGTAAACTAAACATATTGCAACTTATAAAGCCGTCTAATAATAACATTGTATCCCAGTTAACCTTTTAGTAGGTAACCAGCTAGTTTCCTTTCGTTTTTGAAGGGTGGCAAGCCCTTACTACACAAGTACACAGATGTACTGGGGTCATATAAGACAGGCCCAACAAGGCAAGCCTGCATCGCCGAAGCGTTCGGCTCGGATGCGTTTCGCGTTCTGCCTCCTCTCGGCTCAAGCCCCGCTTGCGGATGGCAATCTCGACTACCTGCCGCTTGGAACCTCGGTGGCACCAAGCGGTTGGTGTCAAAATCAGGGAACTTCTACCTGGACCCTCAATATTCCAGCTTACAAAATGGAATTATTGCAACCCAACATGATGGAACTGGTGAATTCCACGTTTTGTATGCCTAGTTTACTTCCAACTTTTAAATGGGAATGATTGCAACTCCAAATGATGGAATTGGTGGTGGAGGGTTCAGGTACAATTTTGCAAACACGCTCGTGCTTGGCGAGGCATTCTTCACCAGGGTGAAAGTCGATGCCACAATTGCTCTTGCTTGCTTGCTTGCTTGCCTGCCTGCCTGCTTGCTCGCTTGGATTCGTGAGTGCTTCAGGAATCGAAGCTGACCAATCAATCACCCAACCAAGTTTTCTGAAGACTTTCATGGGCTTGGGGTGCCAGAGCTGAGCGACCTGTTCCCACGGCTGAAGGCCTGCGGTACTCTGCATGAGGCTTGGAACCTAGAAGCTTGTCACCAAGCGCCCTGGATGGCTAATGGGTGGCTCTCTCAAGCGCATGTTGGTTGAAGTGGGTGTTGCCAAGATTAGGGCCCTTTTTTTGGCACTCCCTCCAAAAGGTGAAACAACACCAGGCTCCAAACACAAACTAAATTTGACCCCTGCCACTATGTGCGCGACCGGTGACCGGTGATACGCAAATCCGCCGCGAATGGGCTCTGCCCCAAGACCCACGATTCATCTGCCAATGGGGATGTTGGCTCAAGTGAAGCATTCTCTGAATCAAAGGATTCAGTGATCCGGTTGTGTCTTCTTTTGAGCGGACCTTCGCCCCGCGAAGAATGTGTGAAATTGAAACAGACGAGGTGTTTGGTCGGGAGGTGCGCGTTGTTTTTCGTTTTTGACTGGTTTGGCAAGCACTAAAATGGAACTCCCTCCTTCGTGGTTCTGGTCTGGACCATCTTCCTTTAAAACATGGACCCTCTGGTGGGTTTCAAGGCAACGTGGACAGGAGGGTAGATTTCTGAATCGCAAGCAATGATTATCGCTACATTTTGGTAGAACTTCAAAGCATTTGAGGCCTTGGAAATTGCTTAAATTGATGAAACCCATGGAATGGTTGTGAGGAGCTCCAAAACTATCCAAGCCCGCATTGTTCTCGGATTTAGAGGAGCTCGGTTGCTTTGTTTAACTTGAACACCTTCTAACCCCACAAGAAAAACAACACTCGACTCAGAAATACAAGGTTAACCTGTCGGAATCTTGACTAATGGACAAACAACAACGGAAAAAGCTATGGTTCCCCCCCCACCCAACCAAACACCCAAAGAAAGAAACAACATATGAGCTGCCGCCAAAACCCTGCGCGAAACTGGATCTCTCAAGCCTTCGTTCTTGGGGGTGTTGGACCCTATTCCACTCCAATGCATATCCCTTGTTCCGACCCTTTTGGTGGCAGCTCATACGCTCGGCTTCTTCAATTCACCCCAAAAGAACATGGTTGGTCCTCCACCCCCGCCCGCCCCATCCCACCCCCGCAACAACAACAACAACAACAACAACAACAACAACAACAACAACAACAACAACAACAACAACAACAACAACAACAACAACAACAAATGGCTGCAACTTGCTGCAACTTGTTCTTGGACCCCAGCTGCAACTTGGCTTCGCTGAAAAACCCGAACCCAAAATCCAGTCACTCGCTCGATACAAGGCCCAGGGCTCCACTGGGACTGCTGCTGTGTGCCCTGGCGAAGGGCGAAATGCGCGCAACGGCCGCGTGAGGTGGCCGTTGCTTCGAAGATGTTTTATGTATGTTGGTTTTTGGTTGGTTCGTTTATGATGGTGCAATCATGTTGGCTCATTTATTTATGCTAGTTTTGGTTGGTTCGTTTATGTTGGTGCAATCGTGTTGGTCCATTTATTTATGTCGCTTTTTGTTTGGTTCGTTTATGTTGGTGCAATCATGTTGGTCCATTTATGTTGTGTTGCTGTTCGGTTGGTTTGTTTATGTTGGTGCAATCATGCTGGTCCATGTATCTATGTTGCTTTTTGTTTGGTTCGTTTATGTTGGTGCAATTATGTTGGTTCATATATGTATGTGTCTGTTTGTCTCGTTCGTTTATGTTGGTGCAATCATGTTGGTTCCTATATTTATGTTGCTGTTTGGTTGGTTTGTTTACGTTGGTGCAATCATGTTGGTTCAATTATTTATGTTGCTGTTTGTTTGGTTCGTTTATGTTGGTGCAATCATGTTGGTTCATGTATTTATGTTTCTTTTTGTTTGGTTCGTTTATGATGGTGCAATCATGTTGGTTCATATATTTATGTTGCTGTTTGGTTGGTTCGTTTATGTTGGTGCAATCATGTTGGTTCAATTGTTGATGTTGCTTTTTGTTTGGTTCGTTTATGTTGGTGCAATCAGGTTGGATCGAATATTTATGTTTCTTTGTGGTTGGTTCGTTTATGATGGTGCAATCATGTTGGCTCATTTATTTATGCTTCTTTTTGGTTGGTTCGTTTATGTTGGTGCAATCGTGTTGGCCAATTTAGTTATGTTGCTTTTTGTTCGTTTATGTTGGTGCAATCATGTTGGTTCATATATTTATGTTGCTGTTCGGTTGGTTTGTTTATGTTGGTGCAATCATGTTGGTTCATTTATTTATGTTGTTGTTTGATTGGTTTTTGTTTGGTTCGTTTATGTTGGTGCAATTATGTTGGTTCATTTATTTATGTTGCTGCTTGGTTGGTTCGTTTATGTTGGTGCAATCATGTTGGTTCAATTATTTATGTTGCTTTTTGGTTGGTTTGTTTATGTTGGTGGTTCATTTATTTACCTTGCTTTTAGGTTGGTTCGTTTATGTTGGTGCAATCATGTTGGTTCATATATTTATGTTTCTTTTTGGTTGGTTCGTTTATGATGGTGCAATCATGTTGGCTCATTTATTTATGCTAGTTTTGGTTGGATCGTTTACGTTGGTGCAATCGTGCTGGTCCATTTATTTATGTTGCTTTTGTTTGGTTCGTTTATGTTGGTGCAATCATGTTGGTCCATTTATGTTATGTTGCTGTTCGGTTGGTTTGTTTATGTTGGTGCAATCATGCTGGTCCATGTATTTATGTTGCATTTTGTTTGGTTCGTTTATGTTGGTGCAATCATGTTGGTTCATTTATTTATGTTGCTTTTTGTTTGGTTCATTTATGTCTCATTCATGTTGGTTCATTTGCCCGCTCTCCCACTAACATGGCCCTCCCTTTAAGAGGAGATTGATCTTCCAGGTACCCTCCCACCGGTGCTATGTTGGTGGAACGGAGGGTAGGGTGCTTTACTTCCGTTGCTCTATTCTACGTGTTGGGTGTATTTGTTAGGGTTTATGGTATGTTGTTTATTTGTAGTTTGTTGGTTCATGTATGTCTTAGGGGAATGCTTTGTTCGTGAGGGTATCTGTGGGGATGTTGTTGGGATTGAGGATGTTTTTCTCTTTGTGAAAGGTGATGTTTAAAACCGCCAAAAAGGGACATATAGAGACCCCCTGATTGAAGATGATGATAAAATTTGGTTGAGTTGCATTTTTGTGTGCATTGAGCACGGAAAAGACCCCAAGATCAAAACCAACAAACTCTTGGGTTGTGGCGGAGCAAAGGGATTCCTCAAGACGGCTGGCTTCCAAGCCGCGCACGCGAAAGCTTAAGGACCTTCCGGCGGGTGGGAAATCGATCATTTTCAACATCAAAACGGGTCACCTGGACAATTCCGCCTTAAAAAAGGGCTAGCGCCCCAAAATTACGGGGTGCATTCACTTTTGAATGGGTAGTTTGAGGGTCCAGGTATTTTTTTTAGGTTCCCTTGGTCCCACCGAGCAGCCACGCCGCAAAACAATTGCTGGGTTTCCCCGCGCGTACACAAGCCATCCCCTTTGCGGGTTCGATGGAAAATCATCTGAGTCATAATCAAAACCTGGTACTAAAATGGTCCACCCAGAACCATGTAAAGAATTAAGAAGGCGGCCGCAGCTATTTATAACTGGGATTGTCCCTTACTAACCTTCATCTGCCCAGGTTTTGATTGTGACTCATCTGTCCAAGCCTACCAGGCGATTTGGTCACACCGAAGGCTCGCTGATCTGTTCGGTGATTGTGTAACATCCGCACCATGGCCCTCCAAATTGGTGGCTTCAAGGGATTTGGGCGGCCCAAATGCAACTTTTAGAAGCGGAACATGGAACCGCTAAGCCCCAAAACTCCCGGCCTTAATGGGGTGACTTGCAACCCAAAAGATTCTGGGCCAGGTGAATTCCCCTTTTAATTCCAACTTAAACATGGAGTAAATGGCAACCCAAAATGGTGGGTGAATTCTGTTCCCTTTTTGTCTGAATACCTGGAACCTCAAACTACCCGGTTAAGTGGATATTTTAATTTAGTTCCTTTTGCCAACATCTTTATAAATTGTAGCCAGTTAAGCGACTACAACTATTCAGCATCTAACAATTTCAGTAGTGCAGTAATCAAAAAAGTTCATATCAATCAGCAACTCAGGGGAGTCTTAACAGATTTTCAATCGCCATCTTATGCAAATTTTATTGATGTAGGAGATAAAAAAACTAACCGATTACACTTTACAATAGCTAATAGTCGCAACGAGTTAATTGACTTTCACGGTGTTCCTATTTCTTTCTCGTTGCTTTTTCAGTTTGACAATTAATGTTTTTTGCAAACATATCATTATTTTAATATATATATATGCTAATATTTCTCCTAAAGTTATACTGTAGAAAATATATAGAACAGTTATAGAACATTATATATCATTATGTCAGAAGTTGAATCTGAAATTAATAATACGATTGAAGCAACCGAGCCAGTAAATGAATTACCACCAATTGAAGAAGAAGCACAACAACCTCTACCTGAACAACCGCCACCACAAACCAAACCAGCTCCGCCATTGAAAAACAATTCAAAAATAGAACAAATGAAGGACACGTATATAACCTGTGAAAAATGCGGTAAACAATATGTTTTTAAAAAGTTATAGGTATAAGCACGAAAACACTTGTCAAGGTTTATTACAACAAAAAGCAGTTAAACCGAAACCGCGACCAAAAGCAGTTCCAATAGCAATGGCAAAGCCTCAAAAGGTAGAATATCACGAAGAAGAGCAATACGTTCCACCACAACAACCGCAACAAAATAATATAATAGCGAACACACCGCCCCCAAGAAGAATGCAACCAGCACCGCCTCCCAACCCGCTACAAAATATAGCGCGACACTACCAATTATTGCAAAATGGATATATAAGGCAGAAGCAGGAGAAATACAATGCATTAAATAAAGGTATATTTGGTTCAAGAGGAAATAAAAGATAAAATATAATTATTATATAACCTACTATATAATAATTATGTTTTCAACAGTATCACTGGACGGCTCAAGCAGAATTATAGCAAGTGAATTAGTATTCATAATTCAACAGAACCATCAACCTTAAGCAGTGTTTATGCTACGAAACAAGAATTAGCAGATACAGCAGGTTCATTAGGTGGAGGATATACCACTGAAGAAGTGGATGCACTGATATTAGCACAAAAAATAAGATCGACGCAAACATATCAGCAATATCAGGAATTAACGCAACATCAACAACAATGTTTAACGAACAAGTGAATCAATCCGCAACAATTACAAGCAACCTTAATAATATAACAGCACACGGATTAACCATAACTTCAATACTACCGACTATATCTAAATACAATTAAACTTGATACCAATGCAAATCATATTAGTTCTAATACCGGTTTAATTAGTGGTCTTAACAGCAGTATTAGTTCCAATTCGTTTTTAATCACAGGACATAATAACACATTAGCATCACATTTAGCAGTATTAACTACACACGACAGCAAGATAGCAACAAACACAAATGGAATACAGTAGGCAGTAATATAACATTTGTTAATAGTCATCAAAACACAATAACATCGCATATATCATTAATTGACACAAACATTAATAATATAACAGGGCAGGGAAACATAATAACAACGATGCTTGCCGATATAGCAGGTTTGCAAGCAGGTGGCGGTACTTCTTGGACTACAGCCGACAAAAAAACAAAACAAAAAACTATTCAAGCAGATGTATCAACATTATATACAAACGATACTAACGTATTCAATACAAATACCGCATACAGTAATACATTTGCCTCAATCATATCAGACAACACGACACAATATTTATTAATAACTAAACATTGAAATACCATCAATAGTTTAATATCAATGGATTCGCAAAAGCTAGATAAAATAGATACTAACCTACAATCGGTAGCAGGTGCTGTTAATTTTAGTAGTGCTTCAACTTTTCAAGATACTATTACAATGATTACCGTCAACACTTTATTCTGTAATAATTGCGATATGTATTCCATGATTTTGGGGTAATAACCCATTTTCCAGTTGGAACTTTGAGGGTCCAGGTAGTTCTTTCGGGTCCAGGTAGCCCCGTGGACGGTTCTTGCGAACACCTCAGCTCGCTCCGTGGAGTGCAAGTCGTGCAAAAATCAAATCGCCGGGCGCGCCAAGAACCGGATGTCCTCGCCCAAAGCGGCGCGCTGCACCTCCCTGTCGTAACCTGCGAGCAGGTTAAAGACAGTGGCTGGTTCCGAAATGGATGTTTAGGGCCTATGGCCCCTTTCAAGATGACACTTAAAAAGTGTTTGGCTTGTTTTGAGTTTCTGGGTTTGGGTCAAAATTGAACCACCAGGATATGGACCGCAGGTTTTGGTCCATGTTTCAACTTACAGAGTTCCATTTGGGGTACCTATTTTTGACCCACAGCCACTTGGCCTGAACCCTCGAAACTCCTGAAAAATCGGTTACTGGGTTACCCTAAAATTATGGGGTGAACTCCCTTTTTGCGGGGGTACTTTGAGGGTCCAGGTGCTCACTTTTTCACCACTGAAATAACTTGCTGGTGCGAGTAGGGAATGAGCGAATGAACCTATCCCCTTAAAGGAAACCACCAAGGATGGTTTATAAGGGTCATTCCCCTCATTCCCTACTAAGCACCAAGATAAAGGGGAAGCCACTCAGAAAAAGAGTGCAACTGTCCACTGGCTGGGGAAGCAAAGATCTCCATTAGGGCCCATGTTCTTGCAGGGACCCTCTTGGTGGGTTCCATGTGGGAGACCTACGAAGGTGAGCAAGGCCCGGCAATGGCAGGAAGATGGAACTGAAAGAGGAGGGAGCAGGAGGAGGAGAGTACACGGAGAACCAACAAACATCGGAAGGGAGGAGGAAATGCAACACAATCACCAAGAAGCGCACAGGGAAACCACCCATGAAGACTATATGAGCCACAGTCAAAGCAATTTGTTCCGCCAAGATTATTAATATGGGAGAGTAAGTGGTTCTGCGGAAATTGAGTGTCTTTTCCTCCGTTTCCCTCAAATGGACCACATCTAAACTTTCACCACCGAACCTAGGCATGAGCGCTGGCGCGTCTCTTTTGCTCTGCTCCCTTCCAAAGGGACCCCATTGAAATTTCGTGCAGCGGGATCGCCCGGATCTCCGCGTGAATTTCTCGAGGCGCTGGATTTAAGGCCTCAAGGGCCTTTCCCAAATTGGGGACCCCTCCAATTTGGTTGAAGAGACAAGCCTCAAGAGAGCACCACACAGTGCCGAAAAAATGGTCCCCGATGTAGGAAACGCCCCGCCTGTAATGTACAAGGGTGACACAGAGCCCCTGAGGTTCTGATTCACCTCATCTGAAAGCGAGCCCTCAACAAAACAAACACATCTGCCATCTGCACAAACGGAATAGAATGCACATGGGGCAAGCATGTCATCTTTAGCTTTTCCCACTTCTGAGCTGTCGTCAAATTCCCAAATCCATGATTGCCTCCAGGCAATAAGGGTATGTCGTGTCAAATAGGGGGGCGCCTTGAGCCAGGTGAAGTGACCCGACCCAATCCGCGTCCATTCCCGCAATGAGAACTGGGCGGATGATTCCCCGCAAGGAATCCCCTGAAAACATCACGCACCCCCAGCTTCCAGGAAGAGTTGTGAAGGAACCTTTCTGGCAAAAAGGGTGTCCCAACCTCCCTCTTGATTCATGAAAAAGGCCGACTCCATGCTACCCGCAAAGCAAATTGACACCATGAGAGTAGTGGGAGGTTCTCAACATGAACGCCCCTTAGGCACCAAAAGCCGATGACTTGCTGGTTGTACTGAGATGGTAATTTCGCTGCTGGCCTTTCAAACTTTCTATCAGCCTTGGCAGTAGAACCACTTTCTAACATGGCCAAGAGGGGCGGGGGCCGCGCTCATGTTCCATTTCAGTGGCTCTTCGGGGGTCGCCCGCGCCGCTTTGGGGCGCTTTCGGCAGCGGCGGCGTTTCCGGCGGCGGGGCGGGCGGCCTCGCTGGAGTTGTGCGGGCGAGACAAATGACCCACTGAGCAAAGATCCTTACATTATACACCTGAACATTGCCTTGTAAATGGTGGTTTCCCTCTATTTTGGTATTGAAAAAGCCCTGTTTCAAGTGGTTGCAAAATGTATCTTGTAAGGAGCCCTGAGGGCAGGGTACTTAGTGATCAGTTTGTGCGTGTGGGTAATTCCCACTTGGGGGGGCAATACCAACCAGAGAGCCTCGAGCAAGCCAGGCGTTGGCAGAGGGTCGCCGTGCAGGTGTGGTCTGTATGAATTTTGATAAATTCACCGCACAAACCCAGGACCGCCCCAGGTAGTAAGAGGTTAACATCCTCACTTAAATACTTGGTCGACGTTGGAAGGGGAGCAACAACTCAAATTTTAGCAGTTAAGTGGGGATTTCCCACTAAACCACAATAAGCAACAATGTAAAATGTTTCCCAACAACAACCATGAATAGTTCCTTAAACGGGACTTTTGCCTAGTTCGGGAACTTGCTGGTGTCATTCCGCGGCTCACTTACACAGGTTCGGAGTAAGGGGCTGTTCCAAAAAAAGACCTTAAGGGCCTATTGCCATGCATATTAACTAGGGATATATCTATAACCAATGCATCCTACATTTAGCTGGCCACATAAACATATTTCACCACCCAAAGATATGCCTATTGAAGAATCCTTCATCATGGCCAGTGCCCTGATAGTTTGCCCAGATACAACCGCCGATCTATCTAAACTGACCGACTTTAAGTTTGAACATGGCAAAATCATCAAACATGCCTTAGAATCATAGGGATATTGACCGCTGAACTGGCACGTGCATAGACACTTCGACCACCCACTAAAAGTTTTCAACTTTAAGTGGGTCAAATGGACACCCAACCACTCAACCAACCAAAGAATGCCAAAAAAAACAAAAACTAAGTTGATCCGGATGGCTGGGAACCAAGTTCCGGGCTGGAGACGGGCCCCTGTCCAACCAAACGCCATGTGCCAAGCGCGGCGAAATCGACACACGTCGCATGTCGGGCGCCTCCGGCAGGCGGCTCGCCTGCGCGAGCGCGCCGGGCCGCGAGCCGCGCGCAGGAGGGATGGATCAGTGGGCCCTACCAGTTTTGGGTTTTCGTTCCAGGTGAGTGGCTGGTGACCTTGACAGTTGTTAGTAAGTGGCTGGAAAGTAGCTAGCAAGTGGTAAGTATGTGGCTAGTAAGTGGTTAGTAAGTGGATAGCTGGTAAGTGGCTAGTAAGTGGTTGGTAAGCTGGGCTAGAACCCACTACATGGAAGCAAATAGACTATAGCCTAGGTTACTAACCATGTCTAGCTTGCACGAGAATGGGTTGGGAGGAAAGACATGCCCAAATAAGAGGGGTGCTTGTTTCATTCACCGGACTACACCCCAAAGCCAGTGATGTCTTGAATGGCCAAATTGGGTCTGTCTTTTTCTCTTCACACGTCCATACCCGTTTCAGTCAAGTCTCCTTTTCGAAAGCAACACAAATGCTGCACATCTTCTGACTAGCTGTTCTAGTCTTCCATTTGCTTTGAGTCCTCTGAAACAAATGAGAATCGAGTTCCAGTAGTGATAGAATCCAACTGAAAACTTAAAAACCAACAGGAGCAAACAACACATATTCATTTTGGGAAATGGACAACTACTTGATCACTATCTTGAAAGACTTTCCCCGAAAATGATCGGCTTCCTTTTGATTTCCTTTTAAAACAGACAGGGGAAAATACCACATATTCTCATATTCTGGGCTGTTCCCATATTCCCTGCTATGATGGCTTACCAACTGAAAAACAACCTGGCGGCCCGACCCGGCCTCGGCCACGGCCGTTTCTCGCTCGCTCTTTCGCGCGGCCTATGGCAAGCGAGTGGCTGGTGCCTACTTTTGCGTGGATGCTAAATCGGGGCTCCGGAAAATGTAGAATAATAATAATAATAATAATAATAAAAAACACGAACTCTCCCCTGGTCCGTTTTGGTTTGGGGACATGACTTACAAACTACTGTGGATAGACGAAATCCTGCACCCCCGGGAATCATGATTCCCCTGTAAATACCAGCAAACAAATGTTTCCTATGGTTTTCCTTTGGTGCAGGATTTTGTCCATCCACAGTATGGGGCATTTAGCCCCCATTTTTGCCCTTGAAGCCAAGAACATGTTTTGTTACTTTGGGATCTAAACCAAAACGCCAAAGGTCGCTCTAAATCTGAACCACATGGCCTATACAGGATTCAAACACGGAAGCTCCTGGGAGCCCACAATCGAACCAAGCTAGGTCCTCCAGATTTGAGAGGTTAGAATAAGGGAACCAACTTTTTTTCTGTAGTCTATTTTAGTAGGGGGACCCGATATGTTAACCCCATATTCGTCAACCCCAGTTTAGGGGGGGATCAACCTGGCTTTAGTGCTTGGAATCAGACCATTGGAGGGGCCCGAACACCACCCCCGTGTTTTTTTTTTGCAAACTGGGGTTGATCAATAGCTTGGTTGACGTTGGGTTTTGGGAGCAACAATTTAAATTTTAGTAGATAAATGTAAAATGTTTCCCACCATGGGAACCTAGGTGGATATTCCACAAGTCTTTTGCGCGGAGTTCACCCTGCTATTGGCTAGGAACCCCCCTAACCTCCTAACCTCTTGGCAAGTCCGTGCTCCAGCCCCGCGCCTCTGCGGCCACTTCCTCCGCCTCCTGCCTCTTTGCCTGTGCACGTGGACGCCTAAAATTGGATGACCAGCTTGCAGCGATGACTGGGGTCTACGGGTTTGCCAGACTATATAATGATGACCTCACTTCCTGAGTGGAGGGCCAAAGAAAAGTCCGAACTTTATATTTACCACTAAGCTTGCCTTCCCAGATCCATGATACGTCCATTAACTCAGGAAGTGAGTTCCGATCCAGAGCCTCAGCATGCAGCCGCATAGTCTTTTCTAGTTGCCAGGCTCCATGTTGGGAGTTTAGACCTTGAAAATGCCTTGAACATCCAACCAGCTCCGACATGGTGGCTGGCCCCGAGAGAGGGGGGAGAAATCCGGAACAAGCTTGCGCTATGTCTCGAGAAATAGAACATATCCGATGGTATGGTACCCTCCGGAACCTGGCAGGGGGGCTCCTGGAAGAACATGTTCCTAAAAGGGACCCCCAGTCAGGTTCCATGTTGACTGGTGGGAGGGTAAGTCAATTTGGGACGATGCA